CATACACACACAGACACACACATACATACAGACACATACATACAGACACATACACACACAGACACAACCCACTGTAGGAAAGGCGGCCGAGGCTGCTGGTTGTTGACACACGCGGGTTTAACAGTCGCGGTCACAGTCACACACACATACACACAGACACGTACACACAGACACATACACACAGACACGTACACACAGACAGACACACAAAAACACACAGACACGTACACACAGATACACATACACACAGACACGTACACACAGACAGACACAGTCACACACAGACACACACAGACACATACACACAGACAGACACACAGACAGACACAGACACACACAGACACATACACACTGCCACCATGAGGGGTAGACAGTCCTCTACTCGGGGCAGGAGACTGCCAAACAACAGGGTGTGGCTCTTCTTCGAAACAAAAGAATGAAGGGGGCGTGGGAGCGTGGCGGTGAGGTGTGGGAAGCTGTAAGCCCCAGGCTACTTTGGGCTCGCCTTCCCATCAACCGGAGGCGAGGATTGGTGGTCGTGGTTACTTATGCCCCCACCGAAGACGAACATCCGTGGAGGGTTGCAGGCAAAGCCGATGAGTCAGATGCCTTCTATGACCTCCTGTCACAGGTTCTGGCTAAAGTGGCCACTCGGGATAGAGTCATCTTGTTGGGTGACTTCAATGCCCGAGTTAGTCATGATGCTGGCACCTGGTCTGGAGTGATTGGAGGGCATGGGCCAGATCAGCTCAATAACAACGGTAGGAGGCTGCTAGATTTTTGTGCAGCCCATGGGCTTGTAATTACCAACACGCTCTTCCGGTATCGGCGCATCCACATAACATCATGGATGCATGCCGGGTCCAAGCAAGAACATCTGCTGGACTACATAGTGACGGACCAGCGGATGCGAGCCCATGTCCTTGACACCAGGACCTACCGTGGAGCTGACCTGCCCTCTGACCATCGACTAGTCATCTGTAAGATGCGCCTGCCATTCTTCCACTCCGGTGGTGGGTGTACACCCATGACACCATTCCAACCTAAAGTGGCCTGGTCTCAGCTGATGAAAGTTGCAAGCGAGAATTTCATCATTGCTTGCGGCTGGGGTTGGCATCGTCCCCCACTCCTCCTGATGTCGAGGATAAATGGGCGAGGTTTAGGACTGTGACTCATGCGGCTGCAATGGCTGCTGACAGAGGTGTTCAGGATAGTTGAGAAAAAGCGACAGGCCCACTCTCATCGGCTACAGCATCCTACGTCAGAGAATGAGGAGGCTTACCGCAGCCTTCGCTCGGAGGTTCGGAGAGCCATAAGGCGCTGCAAGGATGGGTGGTGGTAGCGGGTTGCTGAGGAGATGGCTCAGTGGCCCGCGATCACAAATCACTATTTAACTCCATCAAAAAAGTAACCTGCAGCGCCATACCAATTACCATCATTAGGGAAAAAAACGGTGATCCAATCTCCGACCCCCAGGAACAGGTTTGCAGATTTGCTGAGCATTTCTGTGAGGTCCTGGGGGAGGGGAAATCCCTCAGCCAGGAAAACATCGTGGCACAAAGTGGGGATGACCCTGCTGAGGCTGCGGTGCCTCAAATATTGGAAGAAGTCACCCCCTGTGAGTGGCTGGCTGAGGTGCCATCTGTTGAGGAAGTACTGAAGGCGATCCAGAGTCTGAGACCAGGAAAGGCACCGGGCAGAGATGATCTCCCAAGCGAAATGCTGAGGGAGGGTGGCGTTTGTGCACAGACTGCCCTATATGCCATCATAACAACAGTCTGGACCACTGGACGGGTTCCACAGGATTGGAAGGATGCCCTGGTGGTCCCCCTCTTTAAGAAAGGGGACCGCACAGACTGTAACAACTACAGGGGTATCTCACTCCTCAATGTGCCGGGAAAGATCCTGGCAAGGATTATTACAACATCGCCTTGCTAGGCACGCTGAGGAGAGGCTTGCGGAGCTGCAATGCGGTTTCAGGAAAGGGCGGTCCTGCACAGATGCCATATTTTCTGTCTGTCTCCTACAGCAGAGGTGTAGGGAATTCCAACAAGACCTACATCTCTGGTTTATTGACCTGGTCAAGGCCTATGATACCATCAATAGGCCTGGGCTCTGGGTTGTTTTTTGTGCTTTCGGTGTCCCTGACCCTCTGCTCACGATCATTAAGGACCTTCATGATGGTGAGCGGGCCCGAGTAAAACTACGTGGCCGGGAGTCAGAGCCATTCCCTGTACACCTTGGGGTGCGACAGGGATGTCCTCTGGCTCCCACATTATTTAACATCTATTTTGACCACGTAGTTCGTGAAGCCTTCAATAGCTGTACCGGGGAAATTTCAATTTGGTACAGATATAATGGGAGGCTGATTGATGCCCAGGTGCGATCAAGGGATGGCTCCCTATTGGTCAACCACGTTATGTATGCCGATGATTTGGAAATAGCTGCTCATTCAGAGGAGGAGTTGGAGATGCTGCTGCTGAGACTGGAGCGTGCCACTAAGAGGTGGGGCCTTACCATCAGCCCCACCAAAACTAAGCACCTGCCTGGGTATTTTGTACCATCGGACACTCCACCCCCACAACTCCCAATCGGTGATGAGGCAAGGGTGGAGAGAGTGGAGAGTTTCCCATACCTGGGCAGTGTGCTTATGACCGGCTCCAGTTTAACAGTAGAGGTCTCACTCCGAATCAGTCGAGCGGCAATATCTTTTCATCGGTTGCGCAACGCTGTGTGGAAGCTACCTGGTCTGTCGCTACGCACGAAGCTTCAGGTCTTCTCGGCCACAGTCATTCCCTCCCTTCTCTACGCTTGCGAAACGTGGACCCCCCTAATGAAGCATCTTTGCCAGTTACAAACATTTAGGCTGGCCTGCCTACGATCCATCCTGGGTTTAACCAGGCTGGATTGTGTGAGGAGCTCACAAATCCTTGAAAGAGCTGGGCAAAATCCTATCGGTGAGCTCCTCCGGCAGGCAAGGCGGCATTGGCTGGGTCACGTAGCCCGCATGCCCATCCACCGCATGCCTAAACAGCTTTTGTTCGGCCGGATCGAGGGGGCTAAACGGGCGTGGCACGGGCTAGAGAAGAGATGGAGTAATGTGGTACAGGAGGACGTGGAGCTGAGTGGACTTGCCGATGACTGGTACCAGCGGTGTCAAGATCGGCCTCTGTGGAGGAGGCTCGTGAAGGACGCTGCTACTGGGCAGTTGGAGGCAGTCGCCCTCCAACAACAACGGAGGGCGGAGGAGCGACGCTCACAACAACGAGCGGAGCGCCGGGTGGCTAAAGCACAGCAAGTTGGCACAGTAGGGGGCACAAGGTCGTGCATCAGCCAGTCATCTCGGTCATCTCAGTCAGTCGACCCGTGGCACCTGGGTCTGCCCCGTGACTTCCTGCCAGCGGGTGTTCGACACTTCACGTGGCCTCATGGTGCACATAGCCTGGCACAAGCGTCGTGGTGACGTCACCGCCACTTCGTGGCGAATGGCGGTTGTTGTTGTTGTCTGTGTGTCTGTGTTATGGGGAGCGGTAGTGTAGCTGTTAGCGCGCTGCGCTATGAACCTAGGCGACCCGGGTTCGATTCCCGCTCACGGCCAACACCAGTGACGATTATTTGAACCGGTCCTGGGCCTCTCCTAGGTCGACTCAGCCTGAAATGAGTACCTGGTGCGGTGTGTAAACATCGCCACTAGGGAGACAAAGGCGGTCGGGCGTGGTGCTGGCCACCCACCCCCTCGTGTACCGTTCCAGGCCTTCATAGGTGCTCGCTAACAGCACTTGCCCCTGCAGTCTGTTAAGGCTATATGGGGGATCTTTGTCTTTATCTTTGTCTGTGTCGCATCAATTCGCCCGAGGTGAACCGCGCTGGGGAGGAGGGCGCCGACGCTTTGGCGCAGTTCTCGCGCGGAGCTGCGGGTTCTATTTGCGTCGTGGTAACTCTAGAACCCGGCCACGGCCAGACCACGCGCTCTGCGGATCACGGCTTCGATTCTAGGAATGAAACGCGACGAGTGAAGGGGGGCCTCCTTCCCCTCCCTCCATCCTCTCGCTCTATATTTTGCCGGGATGCGTGGAGAGTCGTCAGGGCGACCCGCATGTAAGCCACCTTACAAGGGTCGTGGCGGAGCGAGTGAATTATGTAAACGCTCATCGTGTTCTAGAAGGGCTAAGAGAGAGAGAGACACGTCGTTTATCACAGACGCAGTCGAGTTAATGAAATAAAAAAAAATGTGTCGCCTAATGCTCATCGCCTGTTTAAAGCCCTGAGTCAGTCGTGGAAATTCCAAATTTATTTGGCGGGTGGTGGGGGGAGTATCTCCATCCACGGGTGACTTCTCTACAAGTTCATTATTTTATCGACCCTGAAAGGATGATAGGCCGAGTCAACCTCCAGCCAATGCTGGTGAACTGCTGGATGATCTCCATCGAGTGTGCGAGGACTCTTTGCGAGATCGGCAAAGGGAGGCCCTCGCCACGAGATATATATATGGGTCCTCGTTCATTCAGGTGACCCTCACAACCCACACGGGCCAGCAAGGTGATGAGCTCCATGGCGCTTGCACGGCACCGCCAGGCTCACGGGACTCTGCGCCAGAGGTCGCAAACGGGTTTTGATTCCTTACCCGTACCCGGCCGCACCAGGGTCGAAAACGGGTACCCGTACCCGGCCGTACCCTACACCCGTACCCGACCGGGTATCGGGTACCTGATTGCGACCTCTGGGATGAAGCCATGTTGCAGGCGCGGGTGGGTTGATTCTAGGAACTTGAATTGTGAGAAGAAACAAGACGTTGGGAAATGAGTGACAAACAGTTACTCACCAGTGCCTCACGGCTACCCGTACCCGTACTCGGCCGCACCAGGGTCGCAAACGGGTACCCGTAACTGTACCCGGCCGGATACGGGTAGCCCCTGGTATCGGGTACCCGGTTGCGACCTCTGCTCTGCGCTTCCCAAAGATGAAGCCAAACGCCCGAGGAGGAGGTCTCAAAGAGTTGATCGGCGAGAGAGTTTTTTTTATTGAACACAAAAGTAGACCCCAGCTCGTATCCGCCTTACAATCTAAACTGACGACCACCGTTTAAAAAGCTTACATCAGAGACATCAGGAGTCATTAGTTTGCATCTTAACCAGACACCCCACCTTTTAAAAACAAACAACACATCTTCTCAAAACTCGTTTGATTTTGTAAAAACAAAAAACTTCTTTCTGATGAGAATACCGCATTCTCCAGGTTAAAAAGACGCTCACCAAAACCGGTGCCGTTACACAAATCTGGTGACGCACGCCCCGACTGGATTACAAGACGCACCCGCAAACGTTTCTTTAAAATACAGGGGGATAGGTCCGTCTTAGGATCCAGAGAATACGGTCACAACCTGTGCGCAGCTTACTGCAAAGTGTGCTCGGAATGCCACCTTCAGATCTCCCATCTCAGTCGGCCGAGGTCCAGTCAGAACAGCGCAGGGCACTGCAGCTCAAGTTCAACTCAACACCGGAAGCCGATCTCAGCACAGATGGATTCCTACCACCACCACGTGACCACAGCACAGGTGCCAATTTCCCCCCGAGCTGCTCGGGTGAAATTTGGACGGGTGGCAACGGGGGGGTCTGTGGCGTTTGCGAAAACAAGGTTCACATTGATGCGCTCCAGCTGGCCAGCGACTAAAGAAGCGCCTCAAAGTGATGCCTCCAACTTTGTGTTGCTTCCTTGCATGTAAAAAACACATTTGTGCCGACAGACCTGACATTCCATATTTGGTCAATGTGTGTCCAGACATTCAGAGGGCAGAATCAACCCCCCTTCGTCCTCCTGCTGCCCCATCACGACACAAGGCCACGTGCAGCAGGCAGGGGGACACCAACCGGCTCAGATAGACGGTGCACAACTCCCCCCCCCCCCCCCCCCCACAGCTGACACCATCCTCGGTTTCATTCACTCGGCCCTCTGGAGGGCGGATTACCTCGAGCAGCATCATGAAACAGACGCCGGCGATTGGCACGTTGCCCAAGAGCGAATCCATCGCTAAGAATGTGGAACGCGCGCACAGGCAAGCGAGCGTAGAGTGGGGGGGGCGCAGCCAAAACCGGTGCACAAAAACCCCTAACATTGCGATGATTGGCCAACTCAAAAAACGTGTGGGAGGAAATCGGAGTGACCGGACAACGCACACGGCAGGCGAGTGGGATACACCCCGTACAGATGGACTGCAGATGGGAATCAATACACACCAGCTGTGTCGCCACATCTTGGCAAGACAGGAATTGGCGATCGCGACGCCCACGGGGGAAGGAGCGAGCCTCCACCGCCATCCCGGCCTGGATGACAACGCCCCGTTGATCTGAGCACGTCCGAAGATTTCTCGCTCGAAGATTTCTCGCTCGCCCAAGAGCGGGTGACGATGCGACTGCTTTGGCCGCGTGCGTGATGGGTGACATCCCACGAACGAATGCGGAAATTTGGAATCTGTTTCTAAAAACAATACAAGTCACCGGGACATCAAACCAGGATGGAGGGGCATTCACTTCTGGGGCATTTCTCACCCATCCACGGACTCGACGACTCGGCAACTCGCGCATCGCTGCCAATCAACTGCTTGAGGAGCATTCTTAGCGCCGAGCGGGTTTACCGACGGTGCATCATCGCGGTGACCAGTGTGTGGGTTTGGCGAAACCTGCGCGCAACGCCCCCACAGCGCGCAGGGTCGCCAAGGGGCAGCCGCCATGCACTCGGAGGCGTGACGGCGCAGAGAAAGCCCATGCTGCAGCACTGCCCTGTTGCCAGAGGTCGCAAACGGGTTTTGATTCCTTACCCGTACCCGGCTGCACCAGGGTCGCAAACGGGTACTCGTACCCGTACCTGGCCGGGTACGGGTAGCCGGGTATCGGGTAGGGTACGGGTATCGGGTAGGGTACGGGTATCGGGTACCCGGTTGCGACCTCTGCCTGTTGCCCACTCCGTAGCCCCGCAGCCGATAACACCGGTGATGCTGCTCACTCGCCGATTTAAATAAACCCTTCCGCTTCGAGACACGCACGATGGGTGCAACAATACAACAACCCCCCCACCCCTGAACCGGTGGTGGAAATTTCACATTCTTAAGGCGGGTGCCAGTATAGTCACAAGACAGTCGTTCTTAGAGCCCGAAAAATGTGATGACTCGTATCCACCGGTGATGGGCAGAGTGCCCGCACGGGCAGCGATGAGAACGCGCGCGACCTTTTTGATTGCGAGCCAAGTGGCTCGGCTGGTGAAGGGATACATGACAGACACAGCTCCTTCTCTACTGGGGGCGGTTATAAAACGAAAACGTCGACCCCCTTCGGCTAAGACAACAAAATAAACGGATGTTAAAATTCTTGGCGTTTTGATTCTTGAAGTAAAGTGGAAGCCCGGTGTGGTTCAACCGGGCGACGTTGCGTTGATTTTCAATCACAAGTTGCAACTTGGGTAACTGGAATCTCAAAGTGTTTCAAGTTCGTCACTTCCCCAGGCTCAATTTCATTTGGCAGTGCCGAGCCAGTGGTGCCAATTCCACATTCCTATGGCCGGGTTCAGCCTTTCCTGACCGCAACAACCACTTTCGGCTTCCTGTATGCAGATTTAGCCTCCCAGCTGGGTGATGATGGAGGGAATGATGAAGATGACGTTGATGATAAGTGAACACAAATCTGACAGTGACGATGATAGCGATAACGGAAAGAAATTATGGTAATTAGAAGTGACAACAATAACGACAGTGCTATTGCTCATCAGTGACAATGATGATGATGATGATGACGACACTCGCCAGAATTTATCTGGCATCCTTTGTAAACGTCCGCATATCTCACAGAACTTTTTGATTCCGTCGACTCAGAAAGCGTCGGCTGCTCGACTCGGCATGGCTTTCCGTGCGTCACAACGTCGGAGGGGCTTGCACAGCCAGAGCGGGCGGCCGCCCAACCAACGCACGGCCTCCGGACGCACGAATATTACGGCGGCGACTTCTGTAATAAAACAAACGGTGAAATAAAAACAAGAAACTCCCGACAATGGAATCTGCGTCGAGCGTACTCAACCGCGTCACGAGAAACGAGCGCCGCTCCCCTCGGCACGGCGCGAGCGCAGCGAACCGAGGGGCACGCCGCCGTGCCACGGGGCGGTCGGTTGGGGCGAGCGCGACTTGTCCCGACGTTCCACAACGCAGCCAATGCCGTCCGCACGTCGGAGCCCGGGCAGGGTGGCACGGTGGCCTCGCTTGTGCCCCGCAGTAAGGAGGACCTGGGTTCGACACCTCGAGCTCGTACGTTCTCCCCCGTTCTGCAGAGTGCGTTGTGTGCGAGTGTGTGCAAGTGTGTGGAGTGCGCGCGAGTGTGCGCGCGAGTGTGCGCGCGAGTGTGCGCGCGAGTGTGCGCGCGAGTGTGCGCGCGAGTGTGCGCGCGAGTGTGCGCGCGAGTGTGTGCGCGAGGGTGTGCGCGAGGCTGTGCGAGTGTGTGCGAGTGCGTGCGAGTGCGTGCGAGTGTGTACACGTGTGTGTGTGTGCGAGTGTGTGTGTGCGAGTGTGTACACGTGTGTGCGAGGCTGTGGAGTTTGTACGTTCTCTACCCCTGTACTGCATGGGTTTCCTCCGGGGTTCTCCAAGTTTGCTCCCATATCTAAAATACTCAATGTCACCTGGCGTTGGCAAAATATTCCAATGCGGGACCCTCCTGAAAAAGAGTCCATTGACTCGAAGTGGCTTTCCTGGGTAAATAAGTCATCATCATAATCATTATTAGCATAATCATACATCTCACACCTTTCCCCACAAACCCAGGCGCGGGTTCCCCACTGTGTGGTTCCTGGTTTGCGAATCGTGCGAGGGCACGAGGCACCAATGCAAACAAAAGTTTCAGCGCCGGGAAAAGAACGAGACACTCAACCCTGCAGCAGCAGCAGCTGCAGTTGCAGCAGCAGCAGCTGCAGCTGCCGGCTATGGCAAGCGCCACGGACTTAACCGCCGGCGAACCCGGCGAGTGACATTCAATCCGGAGCGACACCACCACACTGCTGCCACCTCTGTCAGCCAATCTCGTTGGTCCCGAGTGGTGCAGTTATTAGAGTTGTCAAACTGCAAACGTTTTCAAAATCGGTTCCCAGTTCCGTTTAATTCGTGAACTGCTAACCGATTCCAGTGGAATGTTAATTGACGCACCAATTAACGCGCGCGGAAGTACAAACTGCAGCGCGGGCTGAGTCACCTCGCGCTTCTCACTCGCCCTCGTTTCTCCGTTAAGAGGCAAAGGAGCAGCCCTGCAAGTGCTCGCTCGTGCAACTGCTGGCGGAATTGGCCTCTACTAGAGGGAGCTCCGTACAGCTCCTCTCTGTCGTATTTGGTCTACTCTTCCACGCCGGGCAGACGTCTGAAAGAGGTGGACGTACCCACGAGGTCCCATAACGGGGCAGCCGAGAAACCCCGATTGCGGCCTGGCTTTCATTTCCTCCGCGTCATCGTCCGACCGCTGCGCTGTTTTGCACCAAGATATCTGGCGGAGAGCAAGTGGACCACCGCGTGTTGGAGAACCGCCTCTGGAAGAGGACACAAAACTACTTCGGGAGTCGCTTCGATGGCCTCTCGTCTGCACGAGGAGGAGTGGCGGCCGTCTGGCACGCTCTGCTCTCGAGCCGTTAATCCAAATTGGCCAAACTAACGAACGACGCGGCTCAATGTGCCGGCGTCGGTGACCGGGCCGAGACCGTCGGACTCGCTCGACTTGGGAGCCCGGCGTCGCCGCTGCGGTCGGGCGGGCCGAGCCCGAATTATTCGATTCCACGTTAATGACGTGGGCAAAATTTCGGTCGTCAAAATCCTCCGCCAACCCGACGCAGCAGTCGAATTCAACCGTCGTGCGTGCAAGCGTTCGAACGCGCCGACCCGTGATCGTTTCAGCTCCCTCACCGGCAATCTCGACGACAATTCTCACGGCCAAGTTGAGCGATTGGATAGGCGACACCTCGTTCGAAACTGCGTCAAGCATCTTCAAGGACAAGTTCCAGGAAGTCGGAACAAAGGCACCTTCCGGCCGAGTGAGCCGGAACAATGCAAACGTCGCGCTGTTAAAACGGTCGCATCGCGTGACAATTCAACATGCAGGACTTTGCCAGGTTGTGGAGGGTTTTGACGACGCAAATTTGGCGAGGACCATTACGCGGCCTAGCCCAACATCAATTTTTTATCCTATTTGTTGACCGCGAAAACCTACGACTGAAATCAACGCACCCTACAACACGTCTTCAGCACGCACGTTGATTCGTTTAAAAACCCATTAAAAATGTGGAAGAGAAGCAGCCTCTCTCCCTTAGGCTGCGTAGCACACTCACGGACCCACGGCCAAGGGGCACGGTCACGTGACCCCAGTGGTCGTGTGCCGGTCTGTGAGGCCCACAGCTGGAGGCTGCTTGACGGATGTCCAGGGCTCAACTCCTCGTATACGCTGGAGTAGGTGGCACGTGACTAAAGGGTAGCGGGCCATAGCCCGTAGCGATAGGTATGCCGGATGCGGTGTGCCGGGTGCATAATTACTTTCCAGATGGCATTAAGCCCTGGGCGTGACTGTCTACAACCGCGGTGATGATCACATTCAAGTGAAGAAGGCACGATGGGTAGAGGATGTGACGAGGAGGAGGAGGAGGCGGTGATGAGGAATCATTCGGAAGGTTTGGAAGGCGACGGGGGGGGGGGGGGGAGAGAAGCTGCTGGCAGCTACATTCAGTGGCGCGTAGCGACACGAGGATTGGGCGTCGCTGGCTCTCACTGGCTCTCCGTCCGCGAGCGAGCAAGCTAGCTCATGAGCGAGTTACAGAGAGTGCGGGTGAGTGAGCGAGCGAGCGAGCGAGTGAGCGGCTGAGGGAGGTCCCATTGTGGTTACAAGGCAGTGAGAGGCTGCAATGTGCAGGAAGGCGACGACGGTTGCGGAGGAGATGCTGAGAAGGTGGCACGGCCGTCAGCTGCGCAGCTTCAGTGACACATCTTCAGCGTCATCTCCTTCTGCAAACGGCAAAGCGGGAGAGCGGACACGCGGATTCATCGCAGGGAACGACGAAGCAAAGCCCAAGCGCACGACGGGATTCGGTGGGAACACGTCCCGGTGTGGCGAGAGCTCAGCACGATGTAATTAGCGGCGGCGACGACGGGGCGGTCCGAGCCATGTGCGAGGCGACGGCGCGTGGAGCTTGACGACGTCTCCTGAGGACGCTACAAAAACGCGTCCGTGTTTTCCTGGGTGAACCGATTAATTACACTGGTCAACACACTTTTTCTGGCATAAGGTATTCAAACGGTTTTGGGGTGCCGATTCCAAATCTGGCATCAGTTTCTGTCTATCACATCAGGTTTTTGAGATATCAAATATTGCATTTTCAATAAAAACTGCAGAAGAAAAATATTAAATAAATGTGGATATCTACATAAAATGATATTATAAACACACTATCCTAAAAATACAGCACCGTATTTTAACACTAAAGCAGTCACTGACTCGCAACAACTTGCAATCATAAGTGACAGAGTTAATTTCGGGTAAAATCAATGAAAATGGGGTATGCCGATAGCATAAAAATTAGATGTGATAGAGAAAATCTGAGATCAGATTTGAAATCAGCATCCTGAAATTAGTCTAAAACAGATGCAAAAGTCCAGGCCAGAAAAAAATGTGTTTTTTTTTGTTGACCAGTGTTATTATTACATAGGAGAGTTTATACCAAGGGGCTTTGGGTTCTCTACAGCACCTACCAATGGCTCAAGATCCTTTATATCACCCACCAAGGTTCAAAGATCCTACACAGGGCCTGCCAATATTTAAATATCCTTTACAGAGCCTAGCAAGGTATCACGACCCTCTAATAGAGCCGGCTATGGGCTCAAAACTTCACCACAGCGCTTACCAGGGGCTCCAGCTCCCGCCGGTCGATGAGGTTGAACGCCGTGGTGAAGAAGTAGAAGTGCTTGTAGCAGGTGTTCACGTGGGCCTCGGCTCCCATGGCCGAGATGCGGTCAAAGTGGTGGATGTACACGTGGACAAAGACCCGGAACAGACGCGTCAGGATCTTCTTGCAGACCTGCTGGAAGTTCTTGGGGAAGGGGACACCTGGCGAGACGGGAGCCACGGAGGGAGGTGAGGAGGGAGGCGAGGGGAGCGGAGACTCTTTTAATAGCCGTAGCTCCAGGAACATGAATGTGTGTGTGTACTTGCCATCAGGGTATGGGTCTCTGTATATGCAGTGCCGCTAGCTTTACTGCTCCAGAATTCCACAGCGCATCTCATCTCAACATATTCCTGGTGGCCACGCTCTGACCATCGGCTCTCGCTGCGCTTGAGGACCCGGTTTAACCAGAACGCGGTTTAAGCAGGGGTCGGAGGTCTCACGCGCAGATTGGAACCCGCAATCTCAACGCGGCCACAGAGCCCCACTGGGCCCCACTGGGCCACCTCCGCACAGCGGGCGTTCGCCCCCCCTTTGGCAACCTCCCTCCCCAACGGTGCCGGGCGACGCGGCGAGGCTGCCCGGCGCTCCGCTCCGCAGGCAGCTGCACGGAATCTCACGACGGCTCAGCCCAGTGCTCTCGCGCACAACTCATTCCCCCTGGAGAGATACCTCCGCCTGGAAAACCCCTCGAGGGAGTCGACTGACACGCACGCACACGCACTCACGCAGCAGACATGTAAAGACGGGTAGGCACGCACGCACGCACTCACGTGCACGCACTCACACGCACGCACACATACAGCAGACATGTAAAGACGGGTAGGCACGCACGTGCACGCACGCACTCACACGCACGCACTCACACGCACACACACACGCAGCAGACATGTAAAGACGAGTAGGCACGCACGCAATCACACGCACGCACACACGCAGCAGACATGTAAAGACGAGTAGGCACGCACGCAATCACACGCACGCACACACGCAGCAGACATGTAAAGACGAGTAGGCACGCACGCAATCACACGCACGCACACACGCAGCAGACATGTAAAGACGGGTAGGCACGCACTCACACACGCAGCAGACATGTAAAGATGGGTAGGCACGCACGCACGCAGTCACGCGCGCGCGTAAACACTCCAACACAGATATAAATGCACGCAAATACACGCACCGACACGCAAGCACATACACGCTAACATACACCTTTGAAGGCTGGCACGGCACACGAGGGGGTGGGTGGCCAGCACCAAGCCCGGCCGCCTTTGTCTCCCGAGTGGCGAAGTTTACACACCACACCAGGTACTTATTTGAGTCAACCTAGGGGAGGCCCAGGATCGGTTCAAATAATCATCACTGTTTGCTGGGAATCGAACTCGGGTCGCCGGGTTCAAAGCGCAGCTTAGCGATAACCACTGCACTACCGCTCGCCACACGCACTCGCACACACCCATGCGCACGTACATAGGAACATGTTTTAATCTACACCTTACACGGTTTGCATTTACGCGATGAATATCGCACCCAGTCAAACACAAACAAACACGTGCACAATTAAGTGGTGCACAAGACTCTGCTCTACGAGCACTGCGTGCGTGCATCTACGCGTGCGTGCGTCTGCGCGTGCGTGGGGTTATGAGCATTGGTTAAAATAGTTTTTTTGCATTTTGCCACGATAACGGCCAGAAGGAAACGCTGTAGAAACCGGCTAATACCGGTTCTCTGCACCGAAGAAACAAGTATGCAAGGGGGTCTTCTACCCACGGCGGTGGCGGTGGAAGGGTCGGCACGACACTGGACTTGCGATGCAGCGGTCGACGGTTCGATTCCACCTCCCGGCGCGGCCTCCAAACATTGGGGGAAAAGTTTCTAGAATCTCTCCACCGCCTCTGCCCGTTCAGCAGCGGTGTAAGTGAACTCAGCCGCAGTTGGTCCGTCATCGGTAGGCCTCGCACGCGGTGGGGTAGAGTATTGGCACGCCAACCTCTTCCAAGATGAAGAGTAGGCCAAGGAGTTCAACATACAACTCCCTTGAGTGGAGGGCCCCTTCCACTAGCAGTGTGTGCGTGGAAGCGATTGCAGGACTGCGCCTCGTATGTATGCTGAACTTCTTTTGCGCCGAACGTTGCCAACCGTGCTAATCGGAGGTGGGCAAGAATACTTGGGTCAAAGTGCGGTTCTCGTATGTCAATTAGTGCGATCATTACTCGCATTCCAATGGAACCGATAAACGATTCTGAAATCGGTCACCGGTCGTCGTTGAACAGCCCTGGCCGCGGGTAGTGCAAGTTGCCCGGTTGTGCGCCTCGTAGCCAGAACGTGCCGGCTGCATCTACCCCGAGGAAGTTGACGTCATCGCTCAAAACACAACCGGACGCGGCGCGGAAAATTATTTATTTTGTGACTCATTCTACGATGACCGCCAATGATTTCCCTGCGTTGCGTATTGCGGAGTCTGTGCCGAAACTTGTCTGTAAACATCTGGCATTTCACCAGTACTGGTTTAAACAAGCCTGACTTTGCTGATGAGACGTTGAATGTCATAGCCAGTCCAGTGCTTGTATTGAACCAACGATAACATTCCCCAATGGCATGAACAGTAGATTTAGGGCAAGTGGTGTCAGCAAGCACCCATGAAGTTTAAAGTGGCATATGAGTGGGTGGTGTGGCCAGAACCATGCCCGACCGCCTCTCCTCTCCGCCGTGAAGATGATTACACACTGGACCAGGCAATCTTGTGGGGAGGCCAAGACATTTTTTTTTAGCTATTCGCCACTGATATTTTCTGCGAGCGGAAACCCAACTCAGATCACCATGTTCTAAGTGCAGTCTGCTAATTACTACACTACCACTCCCACACATACACTACCACGCACCAACACACACACACAGGCACCTGTACACACCTGCACCTGCTCAGTCGCTCGTGGCGATGAGCTCATGGCCGTGAAGCCTGGGCACGTGTGTGACTCGGGCGTGTTGTTTGCACTCCTGCTGCTACAAGCGCTAGAGCTGCTGGGAGCCTGGGCACGCGTGTGACTCGGGCGTGTTGTTTGCACTCCTGCTGCTACAGCTGCTGGAAGCCGCACGGCTCTCAGACTCCAGGTGACGGGGGGGGGGGTGGAAGTGCCCTGTGAAGTGAGCGGCTACTCGACGCCACGTCACGTGCGGCTGTGCGCAATACCTCTCGTGATGACGTCTCGCGTAGCCGGAGTTACATCCTGCTTGCCGGGATGGCCTTGCAGGCGGTGACTCGGCGAGCACGCAAGAAAGCATCGATTCAAATTTGCACGTCGATCAATTCCCCCCCCACCCCACGTTGTTCCGACCGCGCGTGAAAGGCGTCGCATCGCCACGAGTCAAAAGAATTTGTCCGAAAGCCCAACGTGGCGGTGCGATGCTTCGTGTTGAAAAACGGTCCGCGGAAGGGGATGTCACAGAGCTGCCTTCCGAGGGCGACACTTACCCACCTCGCTCTACACGTGCGAGCGAGGTTCGTCGCACGACGGTCAAAGCAATGTTTCCACTCTCAGAATCATTGGTGACCGGCCTGAGACCATCAACCCGCTGCACTCAAGGACCCGGTTCAATCACCGGTAGCCGCTCGGATCGAGCCCAGGACCTCGGCGCTCTGACCTCCGACCCGGTCACCTCTCGGTCAAAATCAAGTCTCGTGGTTTCACGATACGGGGACGCAATGCCTGCAACAAGTGCAGTTTGCTGGGGGCCACTTGGCATGCTGGGTCTCTGGGCCTGTGTTCAGCAACTGTGATTACAGCAGCTGCGAGCACTGTGGAGTTTGCAGCGAGCAGCTTGCAATGAGCAGCTTGCAGCGCGCAGCGTGCGGTGACCAGCTGCAGTGTGTAGCGAGCAATGTGCAATTTGCAGCGAGCAGCAGCAGGCGTGCCTACCGGTGCTGGTGGGGAAGATGTGCTCGTTGTTGATCTGCGCCTCGATCCAGTCCATGAGCAGGCTCATGTACTGCGGCGCCGGCACGGCGGTGGGGCGACGGTAGGCGCCGTCGTCCTGCCAGCGGTACTCGTAGCGCGGGCCGCCCGACATGACGGGGCACGTGTGGGCCGTGCAGAACTCTCCCACCGTGCCGTAGATGAGGTTGACGCGGTTGAAGAAGTCGACCACGTGCACCGCCATCCAGTCGTTGGCGTCCTCGTCGGCCGGCAGCTGCACCACTGTGCGCAGGTCGAGGCCCGAGTGCAGCGAGGCCTGCGCCCGCTTGTGCAGCTCGAAGCGCTGCGTGCCCGGCTCGAACTTCCGCTTCGGCCGGAACGTCTTGTCCTTGTTGAACACCTTGTTGAGAGCGAGCGCCATCGCGAGACGGTTGCTGCCGCTGCAGCTGCTGGTGGCAGCAGGTCACTCGGTCTCTCTCTCTCTCACGAGTCCTCACCTGGTCAAAACAAAATGATCTTGACTTTGCTGCTACTGCCTGCTGCGGTCGCTACTGCGGTTGTAAACACTTGCACCTTGAGATGCGCTACATGGGAGTCGCGGGATAGATATTGAACGATGATGCTGCTGTTTTTACTGCTGCGACAGCGTTGACATCCAAGCCCAGCTGGTGGTCTCTTTACCGTTGATCGTTTCTTTGGTTTCGTTTTGAGCGTCGGTTTTAGTGTACGGGCTGCGGTGACGTCACCTCCCGCGTCTCTGCTCCGCGGCTTGCGGCGGCTTGCGGCGGCGTCACGCGGCCCGCTGGCGAGTTTTCCCCGAGAACCGTTGACCTGGGCGGATGCTCGGAACGACGGACATCAGGTGTCGGGTCCAAACCACGTCGGCGACTCCACACTCGCAGTTACGGCAGCAGCGCCGAGAGCATTGCGGGCAGAGCGTTGCCCCGTCCGTACGTGCGTGCCGCCTCGCCACAACCTGCAAGAGAGACGTGGGGTCTGAGTAGGCACGGGCTCCGAAAACAATCGCGATGCTCCTCACCGAGCCGTGAGACACTCGGGCGGGAGGAGACAATTTATTTCAATAGCCACCATCTGTCAAAAGCGCTGTGGATTTTGACAGTGGCCGGGAACGCATCGGCGAGGTTTCAGGCAATAGCCCTTCTCAGAGGACACAAATATACAGAGAGATGGAAGGGAATGATAATTGGTGACGAGATGATATCCCACATACACCATGCGGCATTTGATGAAAAACGATTTATATGGGCAAGTTTCCTGATGAGCAATCTCAGATTAGCATTTTTTGTGCAGTCCAAATTCAAAACAAGAACCAGAGTGTGGACTGCCAGCGTCCAGCATGCTCCACCCTCCATCGGAAGGTTAAGAGTTCAATCCCCGGTGTGGGGTGGGGGTGGGGTTGACTTAAACCATCATCCCCCTACAGGGTTGACGAGACGAGCGAGCAACATTTTGTGGTGACGTCAACAGTGGCTGTGCAATGGACAGACTTCCCCTGCCATAGGAGCGTGGAACTTCCGCCAACTGACCCAGGCGGGGGGCTGTAAACAGGAGACGGGTATGGCCTCATTGCTCACTGGAACAGGAAATCGCTTCGACTTGCCAGCCATTATAAATACCCCTGAGCGACACGACCACTTCTCAGCACTTGCTCCACAATAACAGAGAGAGAGAGGGGGGGGCAGCCTCCTCCCTTATCCGACACGCGATCGCGAAAAAAACACTCGCAACGGGCATATTGTGAAAGGGCCCCCGCGTTAGGAAATGCAGTTGCCCCGTGGAAAAAAACCACGGGCCAAAAAAACAAAACGCAGGAGCCAATGCCCCCCCTTGTGGATCCGCTCGCAGCTGCTCCACAAACACAGCGGCCGTGCCGCCTCAAGAGTCGCGAGCTCGCCGAAAGCGGAGCGACACTTGCCCGCGCGAACAAACCAGCGGGCAAAGGCGGGAGGCAGAGGTCGCAAACAGGTTTTGATTCTTTACCCGTACCCGTACCTGGCCGCACCAGGGTCGCAAATGGGTACCCGTACCCTACCCGATACCCAGCTACCCGTACCCGGCCGGGTATCGGGTAGGGTACGGGGTACCCGATTGCGACCTCTGGGATGAAGCCATGTTGCAGGCGCGGGTGGGATGATTCTAGGAACTTGAATTGTGAAAAGAGACAAGACGTTGGGAAATGAGTGACAAACGGTGACTCACCAGTGACTCACGGCCTACCCGTACCCGTATCCGGGCCGCACCAGGGTCGCAAACGGGAAGCCGGGTATCGGGTAGGGTACGGGTATCGGGTACCCGGTTGCGACCTCTGGCGGGAGGCTAGGGTGGCTCGGAGGTCAGAGAGCCGTGCCAACGCCACCGAGATAGATTCTGGCTTCAAATCCAGGTTTTGGTCGCTGCGAGTAAAACCGGCTCCCAGGTGCGAGCGGGTTGATGGTCTCTGCCCAGTAACGGTCCGACTCACATTGAGATCCACAGATCTACAACAGAATCCGATAAGCTAGGAAGCTCTTTTTCACAGACGTCCAGTCGTACAAAGACACCGACGGACTCGCACAGAGAAGCCCAAACAACACATGGAGGTCTTATAGTAATCACAAGTAGTACTAGTCGCATATCTGCATTTCCCATAAATATGCTAAAATTCGTAGTTGTATGGTGAATATGCAGCAGTGTGGTGTGCAGTAGGGTGGGTAGAATAATACATAGTGTAATATTACATAAATATGCTAAAATTCCTCTTGATATGCAAATGCTTTTGTCAAGGCGCTCTTCCTCCTCCCTCCCAGCTTAAATAGACGCTCCAAGCCCAGGACGTGTCATTCAGACACTGTCTTTCCGACAGACCTGTTCTTCACCTGAGGACGGCTGCTTGCGTTGTGGCCGAAACGTCGTGAGAATTATTTGATTATGTTTTATTTTTTATTTTATTATTTCCATTCTACGTGACTTTACCGAAAGAACCAAGAAGATGAATCCCTGCAGTCACGAAAGCTTTAAATCGAAATTTAACACATAGAGGTCCGCGGACTCGCATGGAAGCGAGCTGCGATTTCTAAACAGGGTTTCGAAAGTGCACCGCGTTGATGGTCTGCGATCGCCGCGTTAAAAGGCCATCGCGCAACAATTTGGTCCTGCACGCGGGTCGAAAACAGAACCTGAGAAAGCCGTCGCATGCCGGGCGAGGGGTCGGAGGGGGGTAACGCTCCATTCCGCTTACAGATGGAAATTCACCCACTCGCTACGCTCGCCGCTCTGGCAACAACAAACGCGACAAGATCCCCCCCCCCCGCCCCCAACGCCCTGACCCCTCGCGGCAGCGCAGCGCTTCTAACAAGTAAGGCCTCCGTGTAAGTTTCAGCGAGTTTGAGCCGACGGCAACGTGTGGAGTGATCACTCTCCCACAGCGCGCACGCACGCACGGCCCAGCACTGACAGGACGCAGAGAGAGAGAACGGTAAACACCAGCAGATGTGCTGTGACATGCGTGGGGGTGTGTGTGGGTGGGCGTGTTCACGCCAATGTGTGCAGTTGTGTGTATGATAGGGGGCATGCATTGAATTGTGTGTGTGTTTTGAAGTGTGTGGAGGTATTCACTGCAGGGAGAATGTGTGGATTACGTGCGTATGTGCAGGTGCTGCAGGAGTACGAGTATGCGGTGTGCTTGGGGTGTGTTTGTGTGTGTGTGCGGGGGTACATGCGAGTGTGTCTGTGTGAAGGAGGCAGTCTGTCGGCTAACATGAAGAGGTGGTGGGCGCAAGTGGTGCATCTGCCAGTCATCTCAGCCAGTCGACTTGTAACACCGGGGCCTGCTCCATGAACTCCTGCCAGCAAGCCTTCCGACACTTCACATGGCCTCAAGTGCACCTAGCCTGGCACAAGTGCTGTGGTGATGTCACCGCCAGAGGTTGCTGTTTTCATTGTATAGGGGTGTGTGTAATAGTCACGTGTGTGCCCGTAATTACATGTGTGTGTCATAGAGATGTATGGGCTTTGTATGCAGACGTGTGTCTGTTTCATTGCGTGTATGTCTATGTATGAGGGCCTCCCGTTTGTCTACTCAGCCTCAAATGAGTACCTGGTGCGGTGTGTAACCATCGCCACTGCGGAGACAAAGGCGGATTGGGTGGAGTGCTGGCCGCCCACCCCTCGTGTGCCATGCCACTTCACAGGTGTATGCGAACAGCACTTGACCCAAAATATATTAAGTCTATCCGGGGGATCTTTGTCTTTGTATGGAGGTGTGTGCATCTCTATGGTCGGTATGTATAGAGGTATGTTTGGAGGTGTGTCTGTGTGTCTATACGGGTATGTATGAAGGTCATTAAGGACCACCATGATGGTGAGCGGGCCCGGGTAAAACTACGTGGCCGGGAGTCGGAGCCATTCCCTGTTCACCTTGGGATGCGACAGGGATGTCCTCTGTCTCCCACATTATTTAACATATATTTTGACCACATAGTTCGTGAAGCCTTCAATAGCTGTACCGGATGAATTTCCATCTGGTACAGATATAATGGGAGGCTGATCGATGCCCGGGTGCGGTTAAGGGATGGCTCCCTATTGGTCAACCATGTTATGTACGCCGATTATCTGGTAATTGCAGCTCACTCAGAGGAGGAGTTGGAGACGCTGCTGCTGAACCTGGAGCTTGCCATTAAGAGGTGGGACCTTACCATCAGCCCCACCAAAACTAAGCACCTGCTTGGGCATTTTGTACCATCAGACACTCCACCCCCACAACTCCCAATTGATGATGGGGCAGTTGTGGAGATTGCAGAGTTTCCCATACCTGGGCAGTGTGCTCATGACCGGCTCCGGTTTGACAGCAGAAGTCTCACTCCGAATAAGTCGAGCGGCTTTATCTTTTCATCGGTTGCGTAACGCTGTGTGGAAGCTAACTGGTCTGTCGCTCCACGAAGCTTCAGGTCTTCTCGGCTCCAGTCATGCCCTTCTCTACGCTAGCAAAACATGGACCTGCTAATGGAACATCTTCGCCGGTTATAAACATTCAGGCTGGCCTGCCTACGATCCATCCTGGGTTTAACCAGGCTGGATTGTATGAGGAGCTCACAAATCCTTAAAAGATCTGGACAAAGTCCCATCGGTAAGCTCCTCCGGCAGGCAAGGCTGCGCTGGCTGGGTCACGTAGCCTGCATATCCAGCCACCGCATGCCTAAACAGCTTTTGTTCGGCCGGATCGAGGGGGCTAAACGGGCACAGCACGGGTTAGAGAAGAGATGGAGTGATGTGGTACAAAAGGATGTGGAGCTGAGTGGACTTGCCAATGACTGGTACCAGCGGTGTCAAGATCGGCCTCTGTGGAGAAGGCTCGTGAAGGACGCTTACTGGGCAGTTGGAGGCAGTCGCCCTCCAGCAACAACGGAGGGCAGAGGAGCGACGCTCACAACAACCAGCGGAGCGCCGGGTGGCTAAAGCGCAGCAAGTTGGCACAGTAGGGGGCACAGGTGGTGTATCGGCCAGTCCTCTCAGGTCAGTCGACCTGTGGCAACTGGGTCTGCTCCGTGACCTCATGCCAGCGGGCGTTCGACATTTCACGTGGCCTCAACGTGCACATAGCCTGGCACAAGCGCCGTGGTGACGTCACCGCCACTTAGTGGCGAATGGCGGTTGTTGTATCTAGGTATGTACAAAGGGGTGTGTGTCTACAGGGGTATGCATGGAGGTGTGTGCATGTTTCTGTCTTTGTTTGCGTGTTTATAGAAGGGCTTGCACGTCTGTACTATGCATCACGCCACATCACGCCACCACGACCGGCCCCCACTGCTCACCGCGCCAGTACAGTCACACTGGGACGTGAATTTACCGGCGTCCAGAATTTACGGCTGCCGCTTGCGTAACGAGGGGCAGCTCCGGCTCACAACAACACTCTGGCGGTGGCACGCAGCAGTGTTTGTGGGTGGGGGGGGGGTCCTGGCAGCCACACGCAGTCACAAGTCGACCGTCCCTGCCGCCGCAGCCAAGTCCGGCTCCGTGCAGCCAGGCCTGGCCATCGGCAAACGTGTGCGTGGGATAGCCGCGTCGGGGCCGATCTGCAGTAGAAGTTCACGCGTCGATTTGTTTTACCAAGCGAGAACTTGGGGACGAGCGCGAGACTCGCTTGTAAGAGGCGACCGCACCTGGGTCGCTACACTGACAAGAGCAACAGCAAGAAAAGAAAGTAATGAGAAGAAAGCAAAATGAAAAATTAGAGCAAATGCAAGCAAATTGGAATCTTGGCCAAAACACACATTACAGGAAATTGAGAATACTCTTATTTGTAAGTTTAAAATACGTAAATGTATAAAAAGCTGTGTATTATCACTGTAGAGTTTCTCGGTGAACATGCTATTCCGTGAAAAATTTCACTTTTGGTCACAAAGGGCTTTCGTTTTAAGTTAAGGGTTTAACGGATTGAATGAAACGTTGCCAATCAGCAAAAGAAACATTTCTGTTGCTGGCGCCACCGATTAGCATGGGACATTAGCTACAAGTACACACTGCATCTAAAGATAAACACAGGGGAAGTTATGGGCGTGGTGGTGGTGGTGGGCGCCTGTAATCTAGAGTTTGTGGATAGAAAACACATTTTATCACGAGTATGAGACGCCCCCCACACTGTTCTAGATGACAGGACAGCAAGTAGGTCGGTGAGCTGCACAAGGGACGCTGTGGTGGTGAAATGTTAACTACCTCACCTGGTATACAGGACGAGAATTTTATTCATAACGTTTTTGGGTTTAGATCGCGTTATTTATAAATGTGTCGTAACCCTCCACCACCCGACACGGCCAAGTGTCACGTTGACAAAAGACAAATAGTTCACTGCTTTAGCCCACCGGTGTGTTGAAGAGTGAAACCACAACATTTATAATTTTTTTGAGTACGACGTTTCGCTGGTAATTGCATCCAGCATCATCGGGCAATTCGCCAGAATGGTGAGACTCTGAGTATTTAATTGTGAAATTTTTATTATTTTATTATTTCCCTTCTACGTGACTTTACCGAAAGAACCAAGAATATGAATCCCTGCAGTCACGAAAACTTTAAATCGAAATTTGGTACACAGGAGGTCGTGGATTCAATGCCAACCCAGACGCCTGTATATTTTGGAGTTTGGGTGTTCTCCCTGTGGTCATGTGGATTTTTCTCCGGGTCCTCCAGTTTTTCCCTCCACCTTTAGAATCGGCGTACGTTAAGAACATTGGGCTGCTATAAATTTCCACATAAGCCACTTCGTTGAGCTATAATTTGTGGCGAGGTCACTTCTGAAAAAAAGCGACAAAGCTCAGTGGACCACACCTGGTAAAATAGAAATAGTTTATAGTTTTAGAGTGAGCATGATGATCTCCTCGCATATGTGGGGTTCCTCCTGGTTCTCCAAGTTTCCTCCCACATGAAGCAAAACCTTGATTTAAAAACGAATTAGCCAAACATCCCCAAACAGCGGGACTCTTCTGAACAGTTTTGAGACTAAATGAGGTTTTCCTGGATGAAAAGGGTAATTTTTTGTTCTTATTACAATTTTTTTGCAGCAATGAAGGGCTGCCCTCTCATGCACTTCCTTATTCGGGCAGCTATGAACCTTGCTCATCGACGCCTCCTCGCATGTCAACGATTCGGTCAGCAGTCTCATCCATCGCGGTCAATCACCACCACTCTGCAGCCTGCAACTCGTTTCCTTTATGTTTAAACTTTTCGAAATTGAAAAATAATTTCTTCAGAACTGCTTTTTGTTGCGTTCATTGTCCCCGCCACACCTCCGCTTAGCACGGTTGGCTACGCACGGTGCGAAAGAAGTCCAACATGAATACCAATAGCTGCCGTTCGTCACTAAGTGACGTTGACGTCGCCACGGCGCCTGTGCCAGGCCAGGTGCACTTTGAGGGGTTCCTCCAAGAACATAAATACATACACAACAACACACCCACTCTCAACAAATCTCACCGACTCACTAACTCACTCATCCATCCACTCCACACCACCGCACTGCAGATCACAACACTTCTCTTTTCGCATCTTCCCCCACACTGCTCCACTTTGAAATCCCCTCCCATAGTCTCTTTTCCCCAAGCTTGTATAACAATAAAAATAATAACCCTGCTCAATTCAAGCAACTTGTTAGACTATCGATTACGACTTTCACAGTGCTGCTTGATGCTGGCCGCTTGACGTGTTTGGGCCTTTGTGTCTGTGTTGAGCAAGAGTTAAAACTTTATCTTCTAAAATTAGAGTTCAACCATCAGACAATACCGCCTTTGTTGGAACTGGGTCATCGTCAGGGGTGGGCACTCTGATAAGCGCCAGTCCTAACCTGCCTGAGCCCTCTTCTTGCAGAAACAATCCAGTTAAGCCTCATCCGCAAATCACATGCTGGGCTTAATCGCTCGCCAGCATCAGCGGCCAGAAATAAAAATGCCCGTCGCAAATGCGCTCAGTGGAAACTGGGTGCAGTGTTGGTGGCGGCGGTCGCGCAAATTGCGATTTGGGTCATTAAATTTGGGGTTTTTTTAGTTGACGATAATTGTGTGCAAAAAAATAATTACAAGAAACAGCGGGCGATGGCTTTGCCACACACGCGCGATGGCTTTGCCACACACGCGCACTAGCCAAACATCGCAATACAGCAGCAGGGCCCTACTGAAAAGAATCTTGAGACTCAGTGAATACGAATCCTGGACAAAAAAAAAAAGAGCTAAATTGTTACATTTATTTACAAGAGCGGGGTTGGCGCCACCATGGGGTTGGCGCCACCACGGGTGGTGAGCGATGTCTGAACCAGTCCTGGGCTCCAGCCCCTTCACCAAGCCGCACCGACCAGCAGAACAACGTTTGGGTCAAGCGGCCCCCCATGAGCGTCACAGAGTGGGGGAGGGGACCTCGATCCAGCAGTGGATGGAACACTGCATTGTAAAAGGTATTCAACCCACAGAGTGGCTTACAGGGCTTCACAGCGGTGACACAGAGCAACACTTCGATGAGACACGAGGAAGGTGGGTGGTGGTTCACTCTCAAGCCGAATTAGGAGAGAAATTACGTAACTTGCAAGCCCCCGCCTGCCTTGGTGATTGTAGCAGGGTACAGGACCCCAGATGGCAACACAATGGCTTTTACACTGGGGCCCCTACATCCTGGGTTCCTTTACGAGGCCGAGTGACCACTGGAACCCTGCCAGTGAGTGTCCTTCGCCTCCCCCTCATCCTCCTCTCTCACGTGGGGGTTTAACTGCTTTGCCTTTTCGCTCGAATAAGCCATGTTTATTCAAGCGAACGAGATTTGAAGAAACTGACCGGGAGGTTGACGCCCGGTTACTTTGCTTGCTGGCCAGAGGGTGGCAGTACGGTAAATGGGCTGACTGGACCCGGCTTTTCAGGGAGCCGTGTTGGGGTTTTCCTCCCATTACAGTACAATTGGTCTTCTCCTACATGAAGCCACACTCTCATGAACGGAATTCATGGCCAAACATCTCCATGCAGTAGTGCCCTCATAAAAAAAAAGTCTTATCATTAATTCTAGATTTGAAGCTTTCGTGACTGCAAGGATTCATATTCTTAGGTTTTTTCGGTAAAGTAACGTAGGTAAAAAATTAAAATTAATAAAAGTAAAATAAAAAAATCACGACGTTTCGGAGGCAACACAAGCTTCCGTCTTCAGGTGGAACCGTCACAGCCACGACAGCTGTATCAAGTAAATCATTAGTATTAGTATTACCACTACTAGGAAACCACTTTTTTTCACTTTGAGTGATGACTTTTTTTTTGCATTCATGCTCTTCAACTGGAATCCCCCCGAACTGAATGGCGATGTTACTGCAACAATGACGAATTGCCGGGCAATTTAACCACAGCGTTGACCCGGCGAAGTTTCGCCGCTTCTCAGAACTCTTCCACAAGAATCCTCAACCGCTGTGTCTGTTTTCCCCTCAATTGTATGCTAAAGATGTATTGCTGAGAAACGCTGTGGAACACCGGAGGAAACCCACCAACACGTGCAGAGGTTCACGGATGCAGTGCCGCCTTCTGCTCACCTAGCAGTCTGACAGTTCACGGTGATCTGCCTGATCCACCAATCCTGCCTTCAGACACACACACAAACACACAAGCACATTGGTTCATCAACAGACAGTGCGTGATTATGAATACGATAGGAAGAGGGTAAGTGTAGAACATTGTCCTGTACGTCTAAGCTCCCACATATATGTTCATCTGCCTTCACCAACCAGCGTGGTGAAGTATGATCAAATAATCCCTGTCCTCATCCAGCTGTGTATTGACACACTTGCACAGGCACAGGGCATTCTGCCACCTACCAAGATGCTCTTTACAGGACTAACAACTCCTGACTTTTGATAAAACATTATTTATACAGACTTTAATGTTTTATTTTATTATTTTATTATTCCCATTCTACGTGACTTTACCGAAAGAACCAAGAAGATATTTATAGTACCTATATCATTTTAACCCACCCAGGAATACGACGATGATGGATGTCCCGGTATTACTGCCCAGAGCGCGTCGCTCACCATCATTTGACACACAACAGTCAATCAAGACACACATCAACACGAGCGCCGCTCGACAGAACTAACGAACATCATCACATCTTCTTGGTTCCTTCGGTAAAGTCACGTAGAAGGGAAGTAATAAAATAATAAAATATATAAAACATAATAAAATAATTATTTATAAAAATAAAACATTAGAAAAACATAATAAAATATTTATTTTTATTATTTCATTACTTCCCTTCTACGTGATGACTTTACCGAAAGAACCAAGAAGATGAATCCCTGCAGTCACGAAATCTTTAAATCGAAATCATCATCACAAGACATCCACACCCGTGCGTGGTGGTGGTGGGTAACGCGAACCATCCTGCGGGCAACTAGGCCTCACCTCAAGGGCTCAGCCTGCCCTCGCTGCCCTCGCTGCCCACACGGCAAACCCGCGGCGGTCGTGGGGAGGGACAGGGCAGGGGTCGAACGAAGAGGCCCGGGACGCGTTTGTAGCCGCGGAGTGGCCGTGCAAGAGGCCCCGCTTACTACGGACGTCGTGACGCCGCTGTCATTTAAAGCGACAGGCGCCGCGCTTGGCGAGTTCCGCCGAATTGTTTCGTGGGTTCCGCTTTCGGGGTGGGGAGGAGGGTGGTGAAAGGACGATACCAAGTGCGGAGAGAACTCCATAAACACCCCCCGGGGAAGGGAGAAATGGACTCTCCCAAGTCGCATACGTGCAGGGGTAGGAAGTGGACTCTACCAAGTCGCACACGTGTAGAGGTAGAAGTCGACTGTACCAGGTCACACACGTGCAGGGGTAGGAAGTGGACTGTACCAAGTCACACACGTGTAGGGGTAGGAAGTGGACTGTACCAAGTCACACACGTGTAGGGGTAGGAAGTGAACTCTACCAAGTCACACACGTGCAGGGGTAGGAAGTGGACTGTACCAAGTCACACACGTGTAGGGGTCGGAAGTGGACTGTACCAAGTCACACACGTGTAGGGGTAGGAAGTGAACTCTACCAAGTCACACACGTGTAGGGGTCGGAAGTGGACTGTACCAAGTCACACACGTGCAGGGGTAGGAAGTGAACTCTACCAAGTCACACACGTGCAGGGGTAGGAAGTGAACTCTACCAAGTCACACACGTGTAGGGGTAGGAAGTGGACTGTACCAAGTCACACACGTGTAGGGGTATGAAGTGGACTGTACCAAGTCACACACGTGTAGGGGTAGAAGTGGACTGTACCAAGTCACACACGTGCAGGGGTAGGAAGTGAACTCTACCAAGTCACACATGTGTAGGGGTAGGAAGTGAACTCTACCAAGTCACACACGTGTAGGGGTAGGAAGTGGACTGTACCAAGTCACACACGTGCAGGGGTAGGAAGTGAACTCTACCAAGTCACACACGTGCAGGGATAGGAAGTGAACTCTACCAAGTCACACACGTGCAGGGGTAGGAAGTGGACTGTACCAAGTCACACACGTGCAGGGGTAGGAAGTGGACTGTACCAAGTCACACACGTGCAGGGATAGGAAGTGAACTCTACCAAGTCACACACGTGTAGGGGTAGGAAGTGGACTGTACCAAGTCACACACGTGCAGGGGTAGGAAGTGAACTCTACCAAGTCACACACGTGCAGGGGTAGGAAGTGAACTCTACCAAGTCACACACGGGCAGGGGTAGGAAGTGGACTGTACCAAGTCGCACACGTGCAGGGGTAGGAAGTGGACTGTACCAAGTCGCACATGTGCAGGGGTAGGAAGTGAACTCTACCAAGTCGCACACGTGCAGGGGTAGGAAGTGAACTCTACCAATCACACACGTGTAGGGGTAGGGGGGGAAGTCGACTCTACCAAGCCGGCGTGAGTAGGTTAAACGTTGAGTTTTATAAGGGCACCACGGGGTGACCAGCCCCTCCCCACCCAGCCCCTCCCCACCCTCCCCACCCAGCCCCCCACCCAGCTCCACCCTCCCTACCCCTCCCACCCCCCACCCAGCCCCACCCCTCCCACCCCCTACCCTCCTGGGTGGGGAGGGTGGGGAGGGGCTGGGTGGGGAGGGTGGGGCTGGGTGGGGGGTGGGGCTGGGTGGGGAGGGGCTGGTCACCCCGTGATGCCCTTATAAAACTCAACGTGTAACCTACTCACGCCGGCTTGTGCCCGCCCTCACAGTCGGGCATATTTGCGGAATACACCACGCCGCCGTTGACCCTGCAGGCCATTGACCGAGCAACCCGACGTTCCTACCAGCTCCCTCCGCAGGAGGAATGTGTTTTACAATTCGAGTTACGAAGTTGTGGACTGAGTTCGCTTAGGAGTGTACCACTATAGGGAGGCTGGAGGGGTGTGAATAACGCGCAATCGAGTTGGTATCGTCCGGGCCCCGCCCCTTGCCCACACCCCCCGCCTCGACCAATCAGGACGCAGGAGGAGTGCCGTTCCAATTTCCCAGCGCGCATGGGCACCGCAGGGACGGAGTGAGCCGCCGCGTATCCGTTGTAGGTAATGTAAAGGGGGCTCTGCCGGTGTCACCAACAGCCGCCACCCGCACCGCAGATGCCGTGAAGAGGTGAGGGTCTCGTGTTGTGGTGAAGAGGTGAGGGTCTCGTGTTGTGGTGAAGAGGTGAGGGTCTCGTGTTGTGGTGAAGAGGTGAGGGTCTCGTGTTGTGGTGAAGAGGCGAGGGTCTCGTGTTGTGGTGAAGAGGCGAGGGTCTCGTGTTGTGGTGAAGAGGTGAGGGTCTCGTGTTGTGGTGAAGAGGTGAGGGTCTCGTGTTGTGGTGAAGAGGTGAGGGTCTCGTGTTGTGGTGAAGAGGTGAGGGTCTCGTGTTGTGGTGAAGAGGCGAGGGTCTCGTGTTGTGGTGAAGAGGTGAGGGTCTCGTGTTGTGGTGAAGAGGTGAGGGTCTCGTGTTGTGGTGAAGAGGTGAGGGTCTCGTGTTGTGGTGAAGAGGTGAGGGTCTCGTGTTGTGGTGAAGAGGTGAGGGTCTCGTGTTGTGGTGAAGAGGTGAGGGTCTCGTGTTGTGGTGAAGAGGTGAGGGTCTCGTGTTGTGGTGAAGAGGTGAGGGTCTCGTGTTGTGGTGAAGAGGTGAGGGTCTCGTGTTGTGGTGAAGAGGTGAGGGTCTCGTGTTGTGGTGAAGAGGTGAGGGTCTCGTGTTGTGGTGAAGAGGTGAGGGTCTCGTGTTGTGGTGAAGAGGTGAGGGTCTCGTGTTGTGGTGAAGAGGTGAGGGTCTCGTGTTGTGGTGAAGAGGTGAGGGTCTCGTGTTGTGGTGAAGAGGTGAGGGTCTCGTGTTGTGGTGAAGAGGTGAGGGTCTCGTGTTGTGGTGAAGAGGTGAGGGTCTCGTGTTGTGGTGAAGAGGTGAGGGTCTCGTGTTGTGGTGAAGAGGTGAGGGTCTCGTGTTGTGGTGAAGAGGTGAGGGTCTCGTGTTGTGGTGAAGAGGTGAGGGTCTCGTGTTGTGGTGAAGAGGTGAGGGTCTCGTGTTGTGGTGAAGAGGTGAGGGTCTCGTGTTGTGGTGAAGAGGTGAGGGTCTCGTGTTGTGGTGAAGAGGTGAGGGTCTCGTGTTGTGGTGAAGAGGTGAGGGTCTCGTGTTGTGGTGAAGAGGTGAGGGTCTCGTGTTGTGGTGAAGAGGTGAGGGGAGGGTCTCGTGTTGTGGTGAAGAGGTGAGGGGAGGGTCTCGTGTTGTGGTGAAGAGGTGAGGGGAGGGTCTCGTGTTGTGGTGAAGAGGTGAGGGGAGGGTCTCGTGTTGTGGTGAAGAGGTGAGGGGAGGGTCTCGTGTTGTGGTGAAGAGGTGAGGGTCTCGTGTTGTGGTGAAGAGGTGAGGGTCTCGTGTTGTGGTGAAGAGGTGAGGGTCTCGTGTTGTGGTGAAGAGGTGAGGGTCTCGTGTTGTGGTGAAGAGGTGAGGGTCTCGTGTTGTGGTGAAGAGGTGAGGGTCTCGTGTTGTGGTGAAGAGGTGAGGGTCTCGTGTTGTGGTGAAGAGGTGAGGGTCTCGTGTTGTGGTGAAGAGGTGAGGGTCTCGTGTTGTGGTGAAGAGGTGAGGGTCTCGTGTTGTGGTGAAGGGGGGAGGGTCTCGTGTTGTGGTGAAGAGGTGAGGGGAGGGTCTCGTGTTGTGGTGAAGAGGTGAGGGGAGGGTCTCGTGTTGTGGTGAAGAGGTGAGGGAGGGTCTCGTGTTGTGGTGAAGAGGTGAGGGGAGGGTCTCGTGTTGTGGTGAAGAGGTGAGGGGAGGGTCTCGTGTTGTGGTGAAGAGGTGAGGGGAGGGTCTCGTGTTGTGGTGAAGAGGTGAGGGGAGGGTCTCGTGTTGTGGTGAAGAGGTGAGGGGAGGGTCTCGTGTTGTGGTGAAGAGGTGAGGGGAGGGTCTCGTGTTGTGGTGAAGAGGTGAGGGGAGGGTCTCGTGTTGTGGTGAAGAGGTGAGGGGAGGGTCTCGTGTTGTGGTGAAGAGGTGAGGGGAGGGTCTCGTGTTGTGGTGAAGAGGTGAGGGGAGGGTCTCGTGTTGTGGTGAAGAGGTGAGGGGAGGGTCTCGTGTTGTGGTGAAGAGGTGAGGGGAGGGTCTCGTGTTGTGGTGAAGAGGTGAGGGGAGGGTCTCGTGTTGTGGTGAAGAGGTGAGGGGAGGGTCTCGTGTTGTGGTGAAGAGGTGAGGGGAGGGTCTCGTGTTGTGGTGAAGAGGTGAGGGGAGGGTCTCGTGTTGTGGTGAAGAGGTGAGGGGAGGGTCTCGTGTTGTGGTGAAGAGGTGAGGGGAGGGTCTCGTGTTGTGGTGAAGAGGTGAGGGGAGGGTATCGTGTTGTGGTGAAGAGGTGAGGGGAGGGTCTCGTGTTGTGGTGAAGAGGTGAGGGGAGGGTCTCGTGTTGTGGTGAAGAGGTGAGGGGAGGGTCTCGTGTTGTGGTGAAGAGGTGAGGGGAGGGTCTCGTGTTGTGGTGAAGAGGTGAGGTGAGGGGAGGTGGTGAGGTGAGGGGAGGGGAGGTGAGGGGTTCGTGTCTACACAGGCGAGGGTCGTGTCCTGGTGAAGAGGAGAGGGGAGGTGAGGTGAGGTGAGGGGAGGTGAGGGGGTGAGGCGAGGGGAGGTGAGGGGGTGAGGTGAGGTAAGGGGAGGTGAGGGGGTGAGGTGAGGGGAGGTGAGGTGAGGTGAGGGGAGGTGGTCTGTCTACACAGGCGAGGATCGTGCCGTGAAGAGGTGAGGGGAGGTTGTCTGTCTCCACAGCTCCACAGACGAGATTGTCTCCACAGACGAGGGTCGTGAAGAGGTGAGTCGAGGCTGTCTCCACAGACGAGGTCTCACCAGACGAGGATCGTGTCGTGAAGAGGTGAGGGTGAGTAAAGGTTGTCTCGCAAGGAGCTGTTGGGGTCACGGACTCACGATCAGCACCTTCCCCACCACCCCCATCTCCTCAGAGAGCGATCCAGCTGCTGCTGTGCGTGGTGATTGGTTGGAGTGGCTACAGTGGTGGAGGAGTGTTCCGCGATTTGCCACGAAGGTGACGAGAGTCAACTACAGGTGAAGTGCGCTCCTGTCACGTCTTTGGCGTCATCATAGCCCCTCAACATCATCATCACCATCACGCTGACATCACCAATATCGTCAGCATAGCCCCTCAACATCATCACCACCATCATCACTGGCACCACCAACATCATCATCATACCCCCTCAACATCATCATCACCATCATCACTGGCATCACCAACATCATCATCATAGCCCCTCAACATCATCATCACTGGCATCACCAACATCATCATCATAGCCCCTCAACATCATCATCACCATCATCACTGGCATCACCAACATCATCATCATAGCCCCTCAACATCATCATCACCATCATCACTGGCATCACCAACATCATCATCATAGCCCCTCAACATCATCATCACCATCATCACTGGCATCACCAACATCATCATCATACCCCCTCAACATCATCATCACCATCACGCTGGTATCATCAACATCAGCCACCAACACCATCATCACTGGCATCACCAACATCAACATCATCATTCTGGCATCATCAACATCATCACCATCATTCTGGCATCACCAACATCAGCCACCAACACCATCATCACGCAAGCATCATCAACACCGGTCATCGTCGTTATCGTCACTCTGGCTTCAACATCATCATCACTGGCATCACCAACATCAACACCATCATTCTGGCATCACCAACATCAGCCACCATCATCACCATCACTCTGGCATGACCAACATCAGCCACCAACATCGCCATCCTCAACAGGTTGAGACGGATGTGGACTGTTGTGGAGCGTGAGAAATGTTGACCGCTTACCAGCAGTGGGACATATCACGGCTGAGGATGAGAAGCACCCAATGGTGGTAATGATGGAGGTGGTGGTGATAGTCGTGGTTTTGATGATGATGGATGGAGGTGGTGATGGTGGTGGTTTTGATGATGATGGATGATGTGATGGTGGTAGTTTTGATGATGATGATGATGATGGAAGTGGTGATGGTGGTTTTGATGTTGATGATGGTGGTTGATGGAGGATGTGATGGTGGTAGTTTTGATTATGGTGGTGATGGTGGAAGTGGTGATGGTGGTTGATGGATGGAGGTGTGATGGTGGTGGTTTTGATGATGATGATGGATGGAGGTGGTGATGGTGGTGGTTTTGATGATGATGGATGGAGGTGGTGATGGTGGTGGTGGTTTTGATGATGGTGGTGGTTTTGATAATGATGATGGATGGAGGTGGTGATGGTGGTGGTTTTGATGATGATGATGGATGGAGGTGGTGATGGTGGTGGTGGTTTTGATGATTGTGGTGGTTTTGATGATGGTGGTGATGAATGGAGGATGTAATGGTGGTAGTTTTGATGATGATGATGGAAGTGGTGATGGTGGTTTTGATGTTGATGATGGTAGTTGATGGATGATGTAATGGTGGTAGTTTTGATGATGGTGGTGATGGTGGTTGATGGATGGAGGTGTGATGGTGGCGATGTCGGTGGTGGTGGTGATGACGATGGTGCCTCCTGCGTGTGCAGTCATGCTCGCATACCGGGCGAGAGCTCCCGCGCTGTTGGGGCAGCTGCTGAGAGGAGTGACCAGGAGACACGGCACAGCATCCGCTACAGCTACTCAGGGTATGCGAAGAGGGCATCACAGTCATCGCCTCGATCGTCATAATCATGTTCAACATTATTGTCCAATGTCGCGGTCATTCACATCCTTGGTGATGATCTTAATTATTCAAAAGTCACCATCATCCTACCATCGCTGACCCCAATTATTATCATCAACATCATCATCATCACCACAATCATGGCATAACGAACAAAGTGATCCATCTCAACGGGTCATCAACATCCAACGTCATCACGGCATTCCACTCGGTAACCTTGCTGCCAAGAATAAACGGTGCCGTTACTTAACAGCGTATTTTTAAACGCGTTGCCAGGCGATTGCTTTGTCATGGCCCAGCGGTCTAAATCCAGCGGCCGCCCTGGTTATTACTGCGGTGTGCATAGTTACTGTCAAAAAAATAAACTGCTGGCCGTCTGCTTCACTCGCAGTTGGACGTTAAAAGTCCCGTGACACCACGAGGATGGAGAGTGGAGGCCATGGTGTGCCAGGGGTCATGGTCCACATTTGTTAAATGGGAAACATCGCACCGCGATTGGAAAACGCAGAGCGGCGATTGCTCCCCGCTGGAAAAAACACGAACAAAAATAAATACCCTCGAGTCGGCGAGGGTAACAAGCGTAACAATACATTGACGATGTGGCCGGTTGCGTAACGCTGAGGCCGCACATGATTGTTAATCGCTTGTAATGTCTCTAAACTTTTGACCCTAGGAAAATCTGAGGATGGGAAGGCAGGGCAAGGCAAGGCCAAAGGTGAGGACATGACACATCTCACGAGTTTGGCGAGCGAGTGACTGGAGTGAATTAGCGAGTGTTGGGTCATCAAATCACCCCGACTGCCCTACATTGAATTCTGTCAAATACGGAGGTAGGAACTGGGTGGGCAACTGCAGTGCATGTCTGTGCGCATGTGTGTGTGGGGAGCGGTAGTGTAGCGGTTAGCGTGCTGCGCTACGAACCTGGCGACCCGGGTTCGATTCCCGCTCACAGCCAACACCAGTGACGATTATCTGAACCGGTCCCGGGCCTCCCCTAGGTCGACTCAGCCTCAAATGAGTACCCGGTGCGGTGTGTAAACATCGCCACTGGGGAGACAAAGGCGGTCGGGCGTGGTGCTGGCCACCCACCCCCTCGTGTACCGTTCCGGCCTTCATAGGTGCTTGCTAACAGCACTTGCCCCTACAGTCTGTTAAGTCTATACAGGGGATCTTTGTCTTTGTGGCGAGCGGTAGTGTCACGAACAGCACACTGCGTTACGAACCTGACGACCCGAGTTAGATTTCCGCTCACGGCCAACACCGGTGATGATTATCAGAACCGGTCCTGGGCCCTCCCCTAGGTTGACTCGGCATCAAATGAATACCTGGTGCCATGTGTAATCATGGTGCTGGCCACCCACCCCCTCATGTGCTGTTCGGGGCTTCATAGGTGCTACTCGCTAACAGCACTTGCCCCAACAGTTTGTTAAGGCTGTCTTTGTGTGTGTGTGTAGACTCGGCCCCGCTGTTCAGCTGGCGCGACGGGCTGTGCATGGAGTCGCTGCTGACGGAGGAGGAGGTGATGATCCGAGATTCGTTCCGCACGTACTGCCAGGACAAGCTCATGCCGCGTGTGCTCATGGCCAACCGCAACGAAGGTGCCCCCCCCCCGGCGAAACGTGCTGCGTCACAACTGCTGCGTGACACGTGCCGACTGCGTGACACGGGCAGCGCACGAAGCGGCCAGCAAGAAACGGCAGCGTGAAAGTCGTGATAGATACGCGTGTCTAGAATGTGTTCGTGCTCGTTTCTAGAATGTGTTTCGTGTATATTCTTGGTTCTTTCGGTAAAGTCACGTAGAAGGGAGATAACAAAATAATATAAATATAAAACAACAAAAAAATCTCACGACATTTCGACTGCAAGAGAGAGAAGAAACATTTCTTGCTGTGGATTTCACACCTGATGACGATTGCTTGTGTTGCAGTCGAAACGTCATGAAATTTTTTTTATATCATTTTATTATCTCCCTTCTACGTGACTTTACCGAAAGAACCAAGAATATGAATCCCTGCAGTCACGAAAGCTTTCGATCAAAATGTTCGTGTATGTTTGCATATTTATTGTGGTTATGCATCTGCAGTGTTCGACCGGGAGATCGTGTCAGAAATGGGTGAGATGGGAGTGCTGGGCCCAACGATCAAAGGTGCGTGCAGGGTTTACACAGCGAGTGCACACACGGGGCGATGAGCCCAACCACGCACAGCAAGCGTAGAGAATTCGTACCAACCAATCACCAGTGCACGTGCGAGTGTCTGCACCCCGTGTCCCTGTTCCCTGCGTCTCCATGTCCCCATGTTCTCATTTGTGTCCCTGGATCCCCGTGTCTCCACATCATCCCCTTATCCCCATGCCCCCTTGATTCCTGCAACTCCAGTCCCCTTGTTCACACATCCGTTTTCACGTCACTATATCTCCACATACCTGTGTTCATGTGGGTCTGTGTCCCTGAATTCCCATGTCCACTGCTCTCCTGTCCTCACACCCTCATTGTCCTCTTGTACCCATGTCCCTGTGACTCGCCGAGTCTCTACGTCCCTGTCTTCGCGTGTCCCTCTGTATCTCCCTTGCATCCCTGTAAGTCCCGATGTGTCTCCCCGTGTCCCCATGAATCTTCCCGTGTGGGCCCCTGTGCATCTTCCCGTGTCCCAGAGGTCGCAAACGGGTTTTGATTCCTTACCCGTACCCGGCCGCACCAGGGTCGCAAACGGGTACCCGTACCCTACCCGATACCATGTCGGGTACGGGTAGACGGGTATCGGGTAGGGTACGGGTACCCGATTGCGACCTCTGGGATGAAGCCATGTTGCGGGCGCGGGTGGGTTGATTCTAGGAACTTGAATTGTGAGAAGAGACAAGACGTTGGGAAATGAGTGACAAACGGTTACTCACCAGTGACTCACGGCCTACCCGTACCCGTACCCGGCCGCACCAGGGTCGCAAACGGGTACCCGTACCCGGCCGGGTATGGGTATCGGGTAGGGTACGGGTATCGGGTACCCGATTGCGACCTCTGCCGTGTCCCCGTTTGTGTCCCAATGTGTCTCCACGTGCATCTCCCCGTGTCCCCATGCATCACCCCGTGTGGGCCACTGTGCATCCTCCCGTGTCCTCGTTTGTGTCCCCATGCGTCATCTCCCCGTGCACCGCAGGCTACGGCTGTGCGGGCGTCTCGTCCGTGGCGTACGGGCTGATCGCGCGCGAGGTGGAGCGTGTGGACAGCGGCTACCGCTCCGTGATGAGCGTGCAGTCCTCCCTCGTCATGCACCCCATCCACGCCTACGGCTCCGAGCAGCAGCGCCTCAAGTACCTGCCGCGGCTCGGTGAGATGTCACGGCGACCTCGTCGATAGCGAGGTCCTTGCATTGGTTTGGCCGGTTCTGTGCGGACGCCAGCAGATGAGCATCAATACTTAATTTGGCTTCATCTTCTTTGTTCTTTCGGTAAAGTCACGTAGAAGGGAAATAATAAAATGAAAACATAATAAAATGATTGTTTTATTTGTATTTGTTTATTTTTTTAATTGTAATGTTTTATTTTTATTATTTTATTATTTCCCTTCTACGTGACTTTGCCGAAAGAACCAAGAAGATGAAGCCAAATTACGTAGAAGGGAAATAATAAAATAAAAAAAATAAAACATAATAAAATTACTATGTTTTATTTTTATTATTTTATTATTTCCTTTCTACGTGACTTTACCGAAAGAACCAATAAGATGAATCCCTGCAGTCACGAAAGCTTTAAATCGAAATTTTATTTGGCTTGTTCGTTGGATATTGCCGTTTTTAGCGATGTTCAGAGCACAAGCGTAAAAACATTGAAAAGCGCTGGTTACTGCGGTAATCGGGCCGTTTAAACTACCTCGGACATGAATGCAGTCTTCACAACCATCATTTTTTCTGATGACAATCTACGTTTGGTGTGAGATGGGGTGTGTGTTGCTTTTAAGTGGGGATGGATTGGGACATCAGATCAGGTTCTGCTCTCTCGTCAGCTGTCAGGGTATAACACAATTTGCAAACCTCACCCTGTTAGCACTGCTCCGGGTCACCGAGTTTTGGGCATGGATGCACCGCGACTCGCATGTGGAACTTCTTTCGCACCGTACGTAGCCAACCGTGATCATCGGAAGGGCAACAAACTAAACCCAAAAAAGGCGCAGCAGTGGATAATTCCACAGCTCGCGATGAGGAGGATGATGGGGAGGGCCTTCATCCGGCAGTTGATAGACCATGGTCCGTGATCGTTGCAGCGAAGGGAGAGATCGTCGGTTGCTTCGGCCTCACGGAGCCGAATCACGGCAGCGACCCGGGCGGAATGGAGACGCGGGCGCGCTACAACGCCAGCAGCAACACCTACACGCTCACCGGCACCAAGACGTGGTGAGGGCAGACGCGCACACACCGCACGCACCGCGTGGTCATCATCCCCGCTGCTTAACGCGCTGCACGCACGCACGCAACACGTTGAGTTTGGAGCAGCCATTAGATGGCGTCTGTAGCCGCCATACGGATTTCGTGTGTTACGTCCTGCGCAAGCGGGCGTGATCGGGATATGGTCGATGATGCGAGTGAAGTGATGGATTACACTTCACTGCAGTCACTACGAGGCTCGCCGTAGACTCACAATGAGGCTTAAACTCACTTGGAGATCCATGGACTCGCACAGAACCATGCGAAAGAGCACAATGTAGTGCGAGTGATGGATCACGCATCACTGCAATCAGTGAGGCACAGTCAATTTTACTCACCTCTCATGCAAGCTGTGTCCACTTATCCTGGACATCAATCGAACACGACGCGACACGATGCTTGATATTGATTCCTAAATGACTTTATGATCGAACGACTTGCTAAACGAATGACTTGATACACTCACGAATGGCGACGTGGTTGACTCACGAATGGCGACGTGGTTGACCCACGCTGTACCGCAGGATCACCAACTCGCCAATCGCCGACGTCTTTGTGGTTTGGGCCAAGACGCAAGAGGATGGGCGGGTGAGAGGCTTCGTGCTGGAACGCGGCATGGCGGGCCTATCGGCGCCGAAAATCAACGGCAAATTCTCCCTGCGAGCGTCGGTCACCGGCATGATCGTCATGGAGGACGTCGAGGTCCCGGCCGAGAACCTCCTGCCCGGCGTGTCGGGGCTCGCGGTGAGTGTCCCGGTGAACGGGGCCACGGGCAGCCGAGCCAAACAAACAAACAAACACGCGGGAGAGAGACGGAGGCTCATGGGGATGAGACTGAGCGTCTAGATCAGAGGTCGCAAACGGGTTTTTATTCCTTACCCGTACCCGGCCGCACCAGGGTCGCAAATGGGTACCCGTACCCGGCTGGGTACCCGTACCCGGCTGGGTACGGGTACTCGTTCCCTACCCGTACCCTACACGAAATAAGTGACAAACGGTTACTCACCAGTGACTCACGGCCTACCCGCACCCGTACCGCACCAGGGTCGCAAACGGCTACCCGTACCCGGCTGGGTACGGGTAGCCGGGTATTGGGTAGGGTACGGGTATCGGATACCTGATTGCGACCTCTGGTCTAGATCCAGTGCCCAACACAATTAGACGGTCGTTATGTGCAACGGAATTCCAGATTTTTCACGAGTGTGAATATAGAATGCAATGCGTGTGTTTCATGTAAGGAAACCTTCCTTCGTGGCTTAGTACTCTTTGGTGGAACATAAGTAATGTTAAATGATGTTAGCCGACATAAGGCGATGTTACGCGACGTTAGCTCCGTTAAGTGATGTCAAGCTACGAGAGGTGATGTCGGGTGACCTGTCGTTGGGCGACGTGATAAAGAGACACCGGTCTCCCGCTCCAGGGCCCCTTCGGCTGCCTCAACAATGCTCGCTACGGGATCGCGTGGGGGGCTCTGGGCGCCGCCGAGTTCTGCTTCCACACGGCGCGGCAGTACACGCTGGACCGGTGAGTGGGCACCGGCGATTCGAGAGTCCTCTGCAGGGACACCGTGATTCGGGTAGGCCACCACCCGTCCCGGTTTCGCCCGGGCAGTCCGGGAAATTTGGCATCTGTGTTCGGGTTTGCTGGAATTGATTTGTGCCGAGATCTGGTACCGCCGCCGCTGCTGCTGCCGTGTTGAACTTTCTTCCAGTCAAATTCGCGGTGTAGATAGACCGAGGAACCCACCCGGGTCCGGTTTGCAGTGGAAAAAGTGGCGACCCTGGGCGTTGACTTTCGCCTACGGAAAGATCGCTGTTGCTCACAGGGGAGCACTACTCTCAGAGCGCCGTGTCACTGTGTCGTCACGCAGCATGCAGTTCGGCGTGCCGCTGGCGAGGAACCAGCTGGTGCAGAAGAAGCTGGCCGACATGATCACGGAGATCTCGCTGGGCCTGCAGGCCTGCGTACAGCTGGGACGGCTCAAGGACCAGGGCCTGTGCGTTGACGCTCGCTCACCCACTCAACACTCACCCACCCACTCAACCCGCACCCACCCACTCAACACGCACCCACCCACTCAACCCGCACCCACCCACTCAACCCGCACCCACCCACCCGCACGCACGCATCACGGGTGTGTTGTGCGTTCGTGTGTGCAAGTGCCCAAGTGTGAAAATGTGCATGATTGTGTTTGAGTTGCTGAGCAAAGGCTCAAAATGCCAAGCGGCCAGCAACGAACGGCACTTTCAAAATTGCAGTGGATAAGTTAATTGCGTTTTTGTAATTGAGCAAGGTGGTTTATTGTCATGGCTTCGGGAAAGAGACGGTGGGAGGGAATTCCAGAGTGCAGCAGTGCGAGGGAAGAAGCAGAAAGGGGGCAGTGTTGTGACCGGCAGTGTTGTGGCGTCAAACACATTGTGGCTCAGACGAAGCCGTGTCTGGTAGACCGAGTGCTCGACATGGGTGGAGCAATAGATGAGTGAAGTTCGTGGGCACGGTAACCATGGTAGTAGCAATAAAAGAGCGCTGATTAGGCCATTGACCACTTGTGAGCGAGTGACTGGAGTATGTACGTCTTTTTGAAGAGCGGTCGTATAGTGATTAGCGCGCTGCGCTACAAACTCGTCGACCCGGGTTCAATTCGTGCTCACGGCCAACACCAGTGACGATTATCCGAACCAGTCCTTGGTCTCCCCTAGGCCGATTCGGCCTCAAATGAGTATCTGGTGCGATTTGTAAACATCGCCTTGGCTGTGGTATTGGTCACCCACCCCCTCGTGTGCTGCGCCAGCCTTTCAAGGCGCTCGCGAACATCACTTGCCCCAACAGTCTAAGGTTATACAGGGGATCTTTGTCTTCTTCTTGGTTCTTTCGGTAAAGTCACGTAGAATGTAAATAATAAAATAATAAAAATAAAACATAATAAAATAATTCTCAAGACGTTTCGGCCACAACGCAAGCAGCCGTCCTCAGGTGGAGAACAGGTCTAGTCGAGAAGACAGAGTCTGAATGACACGCCCCAGGCTTGGAGCGACTATTTAAGCTGGGATGGAGGGGCGAAGAGCGCCTTGACAAAATAATTTGCATATCAAGAGGAATTTAGCATAGTTTATGGCAAATGCAGATATGCGATTAGTACTACTTGTGAAATGCGTAGGAGGTTTGGCGAGGGGTTTAAAGTCATTATGCCCGTGCATTATGCAGGATTAGCAGCATCAAAGGGAGGGGATAGGGGTAACGTTAATAAAGGGAAGGAACGTTAATAGTATGTAGCTGCAGTAACAAAGATCTTTATCTTACGTGCGTGCGTTTGTGTCGTGTCAGGGCGGCACCGGAGATGATCTCGATGCTGAAGAGGAACTCGTGTGGCAAGTCGCTGGATATCGCCCGCACAGCACGTGACATGCTGGGCGGCAACGGCATTGCTGACGAGTACCACGTCATCCGACACGTCCTCAACCTGGAGGCCGTCAACACCTACGAAGGTATCGCAGCGTGGCAGCCGGAGTGCACCATTGGAACCTCATTTGCCAGGAGCAAAATATGATAATTGTTTTTTTACCCTTTTATCTGGCAACAAAACTGACAACCTTTTTTTTACAAGGAGTCATGTTTGCATTGACCACAATACCTGTAGTCGGAATGCAAACAAAAAACACAACTCTGATAATGTATGCACTGTCCTTGAAGTTGATTGGTCCACACCCGAGACAGCTTTCCTGAGAGCCTAGTCTCACGTGGTGTTGCACCATCAAAGTATGAGAGCTCGGGGTAAGCATTTACACCATTGGAACCTCATTTGCCAGTAGCAAAATATGATAATTGTTTTTGTTATCCTTTTATCTGGCAACAAAACTGACACCCTTTTTTACAAGGAGTCATGTTTGCATTGACCACAATACCTGTAGTCGGAATGCAAACAAAAAACACAACTCTGATAATGTATGCACTGTCCTTGAAGTTGATTGGTCCACACCCGAGACAGCTTTCCTTAAGAGCCTAGTCTCACATGGTGTTGGACCAGATGACGCCAAAAGGCGCACAACTCAAAGATAATGCACCATCAGAGTATGAGAGCTCGGGGTAAGCATTTACACCATTGGAACCTCATTTGCCAGTAGCAAAATATGATCATTGGTTTTTTACCCTTTTATCTGGCAACAAAACTGACACCTTTTCTACAAGGAGTCATGTTTGCATTGACCACAATACCTGCAGTCAGAATGCAATACTCTGATGGTGCATTGTCTTTGAGTTGTGTGCCTTTTGGCGTCATCTGGTCCAACACCATGTGAGACTAGGCTCTAAGGAAAGCTTTCTCGGGTGTGGACCAATCAATTTCAAGGACAGTGCATACATTATCAGAGTTGTGTTTTTTGTTTGCATTCCGACTGCAGGTATTGTGGTCAATGCAAACATGACTCCTTGCAAAAAAAGGTGTCTGTTTTGTTGCCAGATAAAAGGGTAAAAAAACAATTATCAGCCGTAGTACAGTACAACACTGTTAACGACACAACACGGCACCACACACACACACACGTCAACATTGTGTGTCTGTGCGCGCGTCAAACAGGAACGCACGACATCCACGCGCTCATCCTGGGCCGCGCCATCACGGGCCTGCAGTCCTTCACCGTCGGAAAGTGACGCGCCCCACAGCACGAGCAGTGCCATCGCCAGCACCACCAGCAGCAGCAGCAGCACCACCACCAGCAGCACCAGACAATCGAATGCTTCGCTGTTGTGTGTCGATGATTCTGTGCAGGCCCCGGCTGCAACTACTCCACCCCCATCCTCCGCGCTCGGTAATTTTTGCACAAGCGGCAAGTGCTGCTGCTGCAGCCGCTTTAACCGCTGGTGTCGACACGACAGAAAGGACGCAGGCCTTGCACCCACAGCTGCCGTAGAGGTCTAAAGTCTCGTTTAACAAAAACTTAAACTGGTCCCGCAAACAATAACAGCCAAGTGAAATAAGCATCTGCACTTTAGCTCGTGGTTGAAATCCCACATTCCTATGGTCGAGGACGAGTTTATCCATAGGACAACAACTGATGACATCCCCACAAAGAAGTTGGAGAGATGGGTCGTGTGAACCCCCCACCCCCCTCTCAATCAGGATTTGAACTCGCGATTCCCGCAAGCGAGCGGACTGGCTCTGGCGTGGAGCCACGGGGTCGGTCGCGATGGCTTTGCGATGCTTGAACGCGGCCAATGCCGTGACCGCACTCGCGCCACGGTCCTGCGCGGCAATGCCCACGCTAATAATGATGTCGGACAAGTGAGATGCGTCATCACAAGAGACGGGGCCCGTTTGTGTGCCGTCCTTCCACAGTTGTTGCCGCGCGATCAGCGCGGTTCATTTTGCCTTCTGTGCCAGACGGCCGCTGCGTCCAACGCTGTCCGTGCGTTGCTTGGGTCACGTTTTAAACTCTTCGCCGTTACCTTCGCAAAACCTCGAGTTTCAAACTGCGCACAGTCGTTGGAAAAAACGCGGCGACGCAAAAAAACACACATCGGCATTTCCCCAAGTGCAAAGTGAGGACCATTGCAAGTCAGTAATTGCTGATGGTTTTTGCGAATGCAAAAAAAGTCTGTGTGGTATTTAAGGCGTTTTCCATTTTGTTTGGTACATGTGCTTTTACAGCAGCCCAGGATTTTTCTCGTAATTTACAGATGTGTTGCCCAACCTTGGTGGAGATGGCGACATGCATTGTTCCCCTAAAAGGGAATGGTGCTCCAAGACCCGAGTGATTTTGCTCTACTTTTCAGCCCACGCATTTTTGTTTCACTTTGGGAAAATCCGCGATGCTTTTCTCCCCAACGAGAGGCATGGGGATTCGACGCGGAGGTGTTGATTAAACGTGGTCACGGCACAATGGGTCGCGAGCTACAATCCTTTCCCGTGCCAAGCTGCGTGGGATAACCCCCGCCGGTGGTCGAGACGCGTTTGTACCGTGTAGAATTGCACCAAATAAACGCTGCACTTTCACCGCCCTCCAGTTTCATTTTGACAGAGGCCAAGAAAGCCGAAATGCCTAAACAGCCTGCAACAAACAGCACCGTTTGAGGTCGCAAGGAATAATGAATTAACGCGCTTCTTGAATCGAGCAAGGCTATTAGAAGGGCTTTGGGGGAAAAGGGACGATTGGTGGGGATTCCAAAGTGGAGGATGGAAGCACCCAGCTCACCCCTTAGCGTCACCTCCCTGCCCACCCGCAGGCTCAACACCCATTCCCCTTCTCGCCCATCGCCTAAGATCAACATGCCCCCCCCACCCCCCCCCGCTTCTGTGCAGCAGCGGCGTTAAACGCCGTCGCATTTAGACAGGAAAATAATCCGCACGGTCGCGGTTGTTTTCGGCTTTGGGACAAAACGTGAAAACCTTGGGAGGGAAGGAATCATCGTTGCCAGGTGTTAAGTCCCCGAGGTGTCGCATAGGCAGGGGGAGGATAATACAGGGACAAGGTCGCACGGTTGCAAGAGGGCGGCGGTAATGATGGGGGGGCGAGGGGGACAATGATGGAGGGAACGCTGGGGATAAATGTGCGGCGTGCAGGCGAGGAACCGTGAGGATGGGGTTGAGAACGGTGCAAATGCTGTACGGCAGAGTGGGGACAGTAGGTGGCAAGGGGGGAGGGAGATGACAGTGTAAGAGAGCGTTGGCAGAAATATCGGGGAACAAACTTTGCAATGTCCGAGTGGCGGGAGTAACCAGAGGACGGATCCCAGGTGATCTGGGGACGGAGGACCTCGGAGAAGGTGGGTGGGATGAAGGAAGAGGGTAGACAAGTGGAAGAAGAGGTGAGGGTTTGTGTTGAAGTTGCCGCTTAACGAAGTAGGGGGCCAAAGTCTGGATGGTAAGGGGGTGGGGCACAGGGGGACGGGCGGTAAGGGGGAGTGGGGAGGAACCCACAGAACTCTTGAAACGGCGGTGCGAGCGGCGGTTCAATAGGTAAATAACTGACAGGGTTGCACGGAGTTCATGGGCACGCAACAGTTAGAATAGCATTACAGTCTCATTCGCGTGGGCCATTGCCCGTCAACACACACCGAGAAATACGCTCGCTGGTTGCGCCGGTGCAAACGTGGATCTGCGACTGCCGTGCAAACATTCCTGCCACAAGCCGGCCCAAGTTGAACCGCGTGTGCCAACTCCCGCCGGCGGCGGCGAGCGCGCAACTTGAACGGCAAGATGCGTGCGAGGGAACAAGCGAGCAACGTGCACAACCCTTGCGGATATTTATTTTTAACGACCAAACTTAATGGGCAACTCATCTTCTTGTTTCTTTCGGTAAAGTCACGTAGAAGGGAAGTAATAAAATAATAAAAATAAAACATAATAAAACAATTCTCACGACGTTTCGGCTACAACGCAAGCAGCCGTCTTCAGGTGAAGAATGAGACACTACCAAACTAGGAGCTTATATATAAGCTGCATTGGGGGTTGAAGAGCGCCTTAACAAAAAGAATGTGCATGTGAAGAGGGATTTAGCATATTCATGGAAAATGCGTAGGCGTTGGGCGGGGGGGTGTCAAAGTCATATTATGCCCATGCATTATGCAGGATCAGCAGCAACCAAGGGGGGTGCAGGGATTAGCAGTAACAAAGGAAAGGAATGTTAATGATATGTAGCTGCAGTTACTCAACAACCACGTAGAAAACTAAAGTATAAACTACATATACTTTAGTTTTTTATGTAGTTTATACTTTAGTTTTCTACGTGGTTGTTGAGTAACTGCAGCTACATATCATTAACATTCCTTTCCTTTGTTACTGCTAATCCCTGCACCCCCCTTGGTTGCTGCTGATCCTGCATAATGCATGGGCATAATATGACTTTGACACCCCCCCGCCCAACGCCTACGCATTTTCCATGAATATGCTAAATCCCTCTTCACATGCACATTCTTTTTGTTAAGGCGCTCTTCAACCCCCAATGCAGCTTATATATAAGCTCCTAGTTTGGTAGTGTCTCATTCTTCACCTGAAGACGGCTGCTTGCGTTGTAGCCGAAACGTCGTGAGAATTGTTTTATTATGTTTTATTTTTATTATTTTATTACTTCCCTTCTACGTGACTTTACCGAAAGAAACAAGAAGATGAATCCCTGCAGTCACGAAAGCTTTAAATCGAAATTTAATGGGCAACTCTTTTTGAACCGTCCGAGCACTTGATAGACCATTTGTAAAAGTCGGACAACACGATGGAAAATTTCAAATCTTTTCACAACTGCCCAACGTGATAAACGCTTAACTCAATGGACAATCAGAAACGTCGACAGCGACCTTGGTTTAATGAATCTTTTATGTGGGTCCGCTTCTCACGCCCTCCACGACATGGGCCAAACATACAGGGGTTGCTCAGGGGGAGGGGCAAGGGGGGTCCCCTCATTCACCATCACCACACTCGCCACCCCCCTCTCCAACATACACACACAGGCATGCACCACTACACACACACAACACTTTTGCTTTATCGTTAACACTATTCCTATGTTACGATCGTAACGGTCGGTAAATGTACAGCGGCCAGTGATGGAAATGTGAATGTACAAGTCCAGGTATGAAACCCTATCCCCGTCTTGTGCGCAGCCGTCTTTCACGGGCATCTTCCACCTCTGCGGGGGACACCAACGGGGCAGTAATAGGAACCTTAACGGAAAGTGCCGGTAGTACACGTCTGGTATTGCGGGAGGCGCCGGTAATGCCGCACCGGCATCTTCACAGCCGGCGGTGTGGTTAATCGAGACTCGAGACACGTGGCGATTTTCCCCACCAGCCAGCACTTCCGTGACTGTGTGAGGTGCTTGGTGCCAGGTCTTTTAAGTGCTGCCACACACCTGCGGGTGGGAAAAGACACGGCCATTAGCACTGGTCACGCAAACCAATCAACACCGCGAGGCTGCATCGCTAAGCAAACTAGATGCTCTACTCCCCCTCCACACACACACACACACTCTTACCTCTCACCATCTCACTATTCCCCTCCACACTCCTACCTCTCATCTCATTCCTCCCCTAAACATTCTCATACCTCTCACCTCACTATATTCCCCGACTCATCTCGCTACTCCCCTAAACACATTGTCCTGCGGAGCGAGCTGGTAGGAACGTTGGGTTGCTCGGTCAATGGCCAGGGTCAACGGCGGCGTGGTGTATTCCGCAAATATGGCCGACTGTGAGGGCGGGCACAAGCCGGCGTGAGTAGGTTAAACGTTGAGTTTTATAAGGGCACCACGGGGTGACCAGCCCCCCTCCCCACCCAGCCCCTCCCCATCCAGCCCCACCCCTCCCATTTTTGGATGCACAATGGACGGACGGACACAATAATCCCCTGTGGGCTGGTGGAACCAGGTGGTTCCTACCAGTAACATTCTCCTACCTCTCATCTCACTCTATTCCCCGACACACTCTCCTGCCTCTCCCCCTCTCACGCTATGACCCCTCCAGACACTCTCCCTACATCTCATCTCACTCTCCTACCTCCTGCCCGATTTCTATTCTGTCGCCTTTGCTCCGATTGCCATTTGCTTCACGGCCGTGACTTTGTTTTCCGTGTCGTTGTCAGTTTGGCGACCCAGTTCACTCCTGGGCTCTCTCTCTCAGCTGGCCAAACAAAATCCGAGAACAACGCTGCCCCCCCCCTCACCAACTCGCGCGCAGCCTCACCAAGAGTGTGACCATGACAGCTGTCGTCGTCCCCCGCGTGGGCTTATCGTATCCTGGTGAACAGGTTCAACACCGACTTGGATTCCTGTCGAGAGAGAGGCAAAACAAAAATGGTCGTCAAAATCCAAACACCTGCAAGGTTTCACATACTCTTTAGTTTTTTCGGTAAAGTCACGTAGGTAAAAAATCTATAAAAATAAATGAAAACAACAATTTAGTTGTTTTTATTCCTTTATTTTTATTTCTTTTTTACCTACGTGACTTTACCGAAAAAACCAAAGAGTATGAATCCTTGCAGTCACGAAAGCTTCAAATCTAGAACCTGCAATGTTACCTCACCTAGCAGGTCTTCACAGTCCTTATCACGACAAATTTTTATGGGGTTGGGCCACGTAAATGATCCGGGGACATATTTCATCCCGAGGATCCTCCAAAATCGCACGACGCAGCCCCAAAGAATACAGCTGTTGCGCGGCGTACAAACGTTTTAACGACTCGCCTATTGTAACCGTGTCATCTTGCCAGCGCGCAACTCTCACGGCCAAACCGAGCACCTTCAGGACAGAATCCAGCAAGCCAGAATAAATGCGTCACTTGACCGGGCTCCTTAATAAGTCGGGTGTCATGGCATCGTGGAAACAGAGTAACCATTGCAAATCAATGTATTTTCACTCTTTTTCTAATGAATCTGGGCCAATAAATAACATTGGTATCTTGTTGAATACCGTCAACGTTGTCAATAACTCGCACGCACGCCCAGCACGCGGCCTTGCATCACATCGGTAAGAGATGTGCGTGTGAGCGACGTCGTTACGTGCCGCTACGCAAGCGCCAAATTACAGCCTGCAAACGAATCCATTCCACGGGATTTTCCAGGTAAAACATTTTACATTCCCCAGTGCGTCCATAGGACCACCGCTGCTGATCATCTCCACGAGGTGACACCCTTTCGGCAGAGTCAACCTTCACCAAGAGTTGAAGTCGCAAGCCAGGCGCTCGACCATCGAGACACCCGGCCGGTTAGGAACAGGTTTAACATTTTAATTGAACAGCAGCCTCGTTAGCCCCCCCCCCTCGCCCCCCCATCCCTCCGTGCCTTGGTGGAGCGCGTCTTGCTGAAGACGTTCCAGAAGCGGAGCGTCTCGTCTCCAGCTCCCGTCACGATCGCCTCGCCGTCCGGTGACATTGCCTGCAAACGCAAAGATCCCCCGTGTAGCCTCGTCAAACTGTCGCGGCAAGTGCTGTTAGGCGAGCGGAGCCCGTGGGGGGTCAGCACAACACACGAGGAGGATGGTGTGGCCCACAATACACCTGTGTGCCTTTGTTGTTGTCTGCCCAGATGGCGATGTTTAACACACCACAGGCACATGCTGTTTGTGGGACAAGGAGTAGTTCAGATATTCAACACTGATGTCGGAGCGGGAATTGAACGTGGGTCGGGGTTTGTAGCGCAGTGCGCAAGCCACTCCTCTCCACGTACACACAAAGACACGTGCACACTCACATGCTCCATACAGACACGTTCACACACACACGCATGTACTTAGACACGCACACATGCATGAATGCCCGTAGACATACAAACGTGAGAGGTTGGAGAGGCTGAGTTCAACAGGCAAGGAGGTAGACACGGAGGCAATGAGATAACAGAGAAGTAGTGAGGGAAGGCAGTAGAGGTGACGGACTCAAGCAAGGACAGACAGGGCAAGTGTTGGTGTGAAATGGGTGCGTATCGGCCGGTGCGCTCACCAGGTAGAGTACGCGGTAGGAGTGCCCCGTGAGCTTGGCGACCTGTGTGAGCGACGGGTACTTCCACACGAGGATCTGGTTCTGCGAGTACCCGTGGGTGCTGACCTGCACACGGGGACGCGACAGCAACGATCAACGTCAGCCTCTCGCAAGTACAGGCGCGCGCGCATCCACGCGCGGAGACAGCAAGCATGCGCGCCGACACAAAATCTCGGCTGGAGTGACGCTGGTGGGGAGGTGGACGGGCGAGGCAAATCTTCAGCAAACATCAGAAGAAACTGAAGCGGAGATTATCCAACGTCGCCGGAGGAGTGACGCTCACAACGAGCGGCTAAACCACTGGACTTTCAATGCAGAGGTGAGCAGCAATAAGGAACGTTTATTCATCCTCCCTGCCTGTTTCACCGGCTGGACACAAAGGGTACAACGCCACAGTGGGTTGCACGGGCCAGTCATCCCAGACAAACCGTAACACCTGCGTCAATCCGTGACCCCCCCCACTGCCAGCGAGCCTTTCACACTTCACAATGCGACGGCCTCAAAGCGCACCTAGCCGGGTACGAGTGCCGATGGTGACGTTTGCCATCACTCGGTGGCGAACGGCGACCGTCGTGGTGACGAGCGCGTGCGCGCGTGCGTGCGTGCGGCGGCACCACTCACCAGCTCGTTGGCGTGCTTGGACCAGGCGAGGTTGCACACCTGCGAGCCCGTGTCCACGTACTGCAGCGGCTGCCCCGTCAGCGTGTTCCAGAAGCGGATGCAGCGGTCGGCCGTGCCGCCGCCCGAAGCCAGCAGGCCGTGCTGGTGCGGGGACCAGGCGATGGCCTTCACGGCCGCCAGGTGCTCCGTGTACTGCTGCACCGGGCTCAGGCTCGAGCCGTTCCACACAAACAGCTGCCCGGGGCGTAAACAGCGGACGTCAGTGGGCGCGCGCCCAACGCCTCCGTCAAGACGTCGGCGTGGAGGGACGGGCCAATAACCTCTGGTGCCGCCGCCGCCGCTCGTGGATGCCCTTCCGCCAGCAGTGGCGTGAGCTAGCAGTTGCGGGGTTGCACCTTTACCGTGTAACTGAGAAACTACGGCAACTTGGTCGCAATCGTTAATAAAATTCCACCGAATGATTATTGGTTTGCGACTCAAATCAATGACGTGAATGATTACCGGTTTACCAGTAGCGTTTAACAACTGTGGCTCTACAAATACACACACGCAGTCAACACACAGGTACCTTGTTTACACCATTGGAACCTCATTTGCCAGTAAAAATATGATAATTGGTTTTTTTACCCTTCTATCTGGCAACAAAACTGACACCTTTTTACAACGAGTCATGTTTGCATAGACCACAATACCTGCAGTCATAATGCAAACAAAAAACACAACTCTGATATAGTGCACTGTCCTTGAAGTTGATTGGTCCACACCCAAGACAGAGTTGTGTTTTTTGTTTGCATTATGACTGCAGGTATTGTGGTCTATGCAAACATGATTCCTTGTAAAAAGGTGTCAGTTTTGTTGCCAGAGAGAAGGGTAAAAAAACAATTATCATATTTTTTCTGGCAAATGAGGTTCCAATGGTGTAAATGCTTCATCCCGAGCTCTCATACTCTGATGGTGCATTGTCTTCGAGTTGTGCGCCTTTTGGCGTCATCTGGTCCAACACCATGTGAGACTAGGCTCTAAGGAAAGCTGTCTCGGGTGTGGACCAATCAACTTCAAGGACAGTGCACATTATCACAGTTGTTTTTTATTTGCATTACGACTGCAGGTATTGTGGTCTATGCAAACATGACTCCTTGTAAAAAGGTGTCAAGAGTTTTGTTGCCAGATAGAAGGGTAAAAAAAAAACAATTGTCAGGTACCTTGTTGTCATTCCCCCCGGATGCCAGGTGCTGGTGGTCGGGCGACCACTTCAGGCCGCACACCTCCTGCCGGTGGCCCTGCAGCCGGCGCTCCGTGGTGACGGGCGGCGCCCGCACGTCGCGTTGCACGATCATGCGGTCGCGGCTGCCCGAAGACAGCTGGTCTGCGTTCCACGCCAGCGCTCCTGCACCGGCGGCGAGACAGCGGAGGCGGCGCTCGTTTAGGGGAGCATTCGGTACTTGAGTCCAAGTCCTAGTCTAGCTGACGACAGCCTGCGTAAGTTTAGTCGTAGATTTAATTTTGTCATTCTTGAGTTCTTATCGGCTCGCAATTGGAAGGTCACCAGTTAAAACGCTGGTTGGGGACTCAGCCCACCATCCCATAATGCCTCTAGGGTCAACAAAACGAGTACCAGTGTGTGCTCAAGTCAACAATGGTTGTGTTATAGATGGACTTACCCCAGTCATCATAGGAATGCTACATTTTCCCTCAGTGGCCAAGAGCTTTACACGGGTGAGCACCGCCTCAACGCTCGACTGAGAAGCACGTCGCTTAGACTCGAGCCCACGACTCCGTCTGCGGATTCACTTTCGTTGCTCGCTCGAGTCTACTCAAACAAGGAATCCACGCTTTGCTCCAGCTACCTCCCACCCCGGCCCTATGTCTCCCTGCCACCTACCCCATCGCCATAACCCCCCCCACCACCCCGCTGTCGTACTCCCGCCCGCCGTACCCCACCCCCGCCATAACCGCCCCCCATCGTAACTCCCCAACGTAGTCCCCCCCCCACCCCCCGCTGTCGTACTCCCGCCCCCCGTACCCTACCCCCGCCATAACCGCCCCCCGTACCCCACCCATAACCGCCCCCCACCGTAACCCTCTCCGCCGTACCCCCCCAACGTAGCCCTCCCCCCCCCCCCCCACTGTACCCTCCACTGTACCCCCCCGCCCCCGCCGCACCAACGCGGGCCGTGTGCCCCTCCAGAGTGTTGATCTTCTTGCCGGCGGCCGCGTCCCAGATCTGCACGAGTCCCTTGTGGGTCCCAACGGCCACGTGGTTTCCCTGCGCGGTCAACACGAGGAAGACTTCACTACCGACAACAACAACAACAACACGACAACAACAACAACGACAACGACGTTCATCGCGCGTAACTTCAGCGGCACGGCTCGTGCTTCTGCAGTGGGGGACAAAAACCCGGTGCCTCCTGCGTTTGCGGTGGAAGAAGAGGTGTGCATTTGCGATTAGATATTTAGAATGAGAAATTTCTTCTGCACAGTGGTTAGCGGGAGCTGGGAAACGGGCGAGCGCGTGCTCGTTCGAGTCGAAAGTGGTGTCGCGGGGAGAGCCAAGTCACCTACCCGCTCTGACCAGCTCACAGATGTCACCGAATCCCCGTCCACCGAAAGGTCACACAGCCTCGTCACCTGAGCACACACAAAGGCAAAGATGAGCACAGTTTGCGATGTATGGTCCGAAAGATGTTCAACGTACATTATCCTTTTTGATTTAAAGCTTTCGTGACTGCAGGGATTCATATTCTTGGTTCTTTCGGTAAAGTCACGTAGAAGGGAAATAATAAAATTATATAAAAATAAAACAATAAAAATTCTCACGACGTTTCGACTGCAACAATTTTTTCAAATTTTCTTGCTGTGGATTTCACACCTAATGATGATTGCTTGTGTTGCAGTCGAAACGTCGTGAGAATTTTTATTGTTTTATTTGTATATTATTTTATTATTTCCCTTCTACGTGACTTTACCGAAAAAACCAAGAATATGTGCATTATCCTATTTCATTTTACCAGGCAAGGCCCACTGAGCTATATAGCTCGTTTCAGAAGCGACCTGGCCACAAATGATAGCTCAACGAAGTGGCTCATTGCGTAGAAATGTATAGCAGCCAAATGTTCTAAACGCATTTTGATTCTAAATGTGGAGGGAAAAACTGGAGGACCCGGAGAAAATCCACACGACTACAGGGAGAGAGACACGCAAACTCCAAATATAGAGCAGGCGTCAGGGTCGGGATCGGGATCGAACCCACAACCTCCTGTATACCAGGCGAGGTAGTTAACATCTTGCTACTTTGGCGCCCCTTTACATACACACACGTACACAGCCTTAAGACTGGTGGGGCAAATGCAATCCAGAATTGTTCAGCTTATCGGGGAGCCAAAATTTTTTAACTTGGCGCATCAAATGCTTCCACACGTGACATTTCAATTTGTTTGGCTATGTCGGGTTTGGGGATGGTCTTACGGCAGGTATTTGTTCAGATCGTAATGTGGCCTTGCCCAAAAAAATCGATTACGAATCATGACAATGGCTGAGAAAAACTTACACGTTAAAATTGAAAAGCGTCTAATGAAGGGGATGCGTCAGTCTCAGACTCAACACATGATGGCGGGCGGCAGGGCACAAGCAGGTTCTCCCGCCAATAGCAATAGCCGCCATTCGCCACTGAGTGACATCACCACGGCGCCTGTACCAGGCCAGGTGCAGTTTGAGGTCACGTCAAGTGTCGAAGGCTTGCTGACAGGAGGTCTCGGGAAAGACCCAGGTGACATGGGTTGGCTGACTGAGATGACTGGTAGATAAACCAGCTGTACTCGCTACTGTTTCCAACTTGCTCCATTTTAGCCGCCCGGCGCTCCGTTGGTCATGAGCGTCGCTCCTCTGCCCTCAGTTGTTGTTGGAGGGCGACTGCCTCAAACTGCCCAGTAGCAGCATCATTCACGAGCCTCCTTCACAGAGTACCGCATCTTGTCACCACAGTCCACTCAGCTCCGCATCCTCCCGTACCGCATCAGTTCTTCTCTTCTCCAACCCGTGTCGTGACCGTTTAGCCCCCTCTATGCGACCAAACAGAAGCTGCTTGGGCATGTGGTAAGCTGGGCATGCGGGCTACATGACCCACACACACACGCACATACCTGGCTGGTGCAAGCGCTCCACAGGTAGACGCAGGTGCCCAGCCCGACGCTTAGCACGTTGAGCGACGACCAGTCCACCAGGTTCAGATAGAAGTCGTCTTGCAGCTCCGGGGCGTCCAGTACCTTGGTGGCGAGACAAAACCATACCAACCAAATACAGCCGCCGCCCGCTGCCGTTGCTGGCATGGCGGATGCTTGGCATTTTGGGCCTTCCGGGCCGTTTAATTTCGATTTAAAGCTTTTGCGACTGCAGGGATTCATCTTCTTGGTTCTTTCAGTAAAGCCACGTAGAATGGAAATAATAAAATAATAAAAATGTCAGACTCTGTCTTCGACAGACCTGTTCTCCACCTGAGGACGGCTGCTTGCGTTGTGGCCGAAACGTCGTGAGAATTATTTAATTATGTTTTATTTTTATTATTTTATTATTTCCATTCTATGTGACTTTACCGAAAAAACCAAGAAGAAGACTTCGGGCCGTTGTTCAGCAGCTGCTTGCGTTGTGGCCGAAACGTCGTGAGAATTATTTGATTATGTTTCATTTTTATTCTTTTATTATTTCCATTCTACGTGACTTTACCGAAAGAACCAAGAAGAAGACTTCGGGCCGTTGTTCAGCGGCCAAAAAAAGAAAAAAACGAGGCTTTGTCAAACGCGCCGTGCTCTCGGCGCGAGCCACGGTCCCGAGCGGTCCCACGGAACGCGAGGCGGCGATCCGCCGCGCCGCATCGGCGGCAGCACAGGCCGCGGCACAAACCTTGAAGGGGATCTTGGAGATTTTGCGCGTGGGCTTGCGTGGCGATCGCAATAACTTTTGGCTGTCGAGAGAGAGCGAGAGAGACAGGAGGCGTTAATTAGTTTGTTTTTCTGCAAAGAGTTTGTAATTAATTACGGTGTTATGGAAATTAATTAAAACTCGCACGTGGAGAATAAAACAACTGTTTAAAGTACAACAGAGGGTGTTAATTTGAGTGAAAATACTTTTTTTTCAGAATAGTGTTGACCTTAGTGTTGCACGTCATCATGATCCTAATTTATTCATCCATCATCATCTCCGCATTCCAGTAGCGTGGTGATGATGGTACCTCGACATAATGAGTATCTATCCATCATAAATTCATCATCATCATCTCTAGAAATAAACGTGGCGCATTGACAAGGGAGGTCTCCAAGTACGAATCACGGAGCAAATTGAATCCTCTCGCCGGCTCCGAGCTCAGATCTTCTCTTAGCTCAGCGTTCACGATGGCACGGCAGATGACATTATCACTAACACATTCCTGCTGAGGGAGTTGGTAGGAACGTTTGGTTGCTCGGTCAATGGCCAGGGTCAACGGCGGCGTGGTGTATTCCGCAAATATGCTCGACTGTGAGGGCGGGCACAAGCCGGCGTGAGTAGGTTAAACGTTGAGTTTTATAAGGGCACCACGGGGTGACCAGCCCCTCCCCACCCAGCCCCACCCCTCCCACCCAGCCCCACCCTCCCCTCCCAGCCCCTCCCCACCCAGCCCCTCCCTCTCCACCCAGCACGACGGATGGACACAATAATCCCCTGTGGGCTGGTGTAACCAGGAGGTTCTTACCAGTAAAACTGCGATCTCTGTTGAGTGCACTCCGCTGCCTCCCAATGGTTTGTTTCACTTGACACTTGGGTTTTTGTCGCTAAATATCATGACTCTCATAGTTTATTTTGAAGCAGGCCACGTGATCTGGCCATACGATGGCTGCATTACCAGTATTTAATGCGCCTATTACGATTGTTTCAGTTCAGCGGTAAGTTGAAGAACGATTCCCACAACCAACCTCAGCGATAAGATTTGCGACATTTCACTTGAAGCTGCGTCAAGCATCCTCAAGCCAGGAAACAGGGAGTCAGTCTTGATTGTTTTCCTGACATTATTTTACAATAACATAAAGCTTTCCCAAGTCCAAATGTTTTTTTTCAATATCTTCTCTATTTCTCAATATCTCAATCTGTGCAACGCATTTAGATATCTTCTTTGTTCTTTCGGTAAAGTCACATAGAAGGGAAATAATAAAATAATGAAAATAATAAAAATAAAACATAATAAAATACAATTCTCACGACGTTTCAGCCTGTCGGAAAGACAGCGTCAGACGCTGTCTTTCCGACAGACCTGTTCTTCACCTGAGGACGGCTGCTTGCGTTGTGGCCGAAACGTCGTGAGAATTGTATTTTATTGTTTCATTTATTTTATTTTATTATTTCTCTTCTACGTGACTTTACCGAAAGAACCAAAAAGATGAATCCCTGCAGTCACGAAAGCTTTAAATCGAAATCTTGGCATTTAGACATGTCAAATGTTGTTAACTCACTGCTGTTGTTGACTAATGCCCGTCGCCATACAATGCCTTTCCACTCGTGAGGCCAGGGTAAGTCTCTATCCAGAGGATCGCTCGTTTGTACTGATGTGTAACCGACTACAGAGGAAGCCCCATCCCAGCATGCCGTTTGCTCTGAATTGGGCTCGCGATGCTAGAAAAAAAACAAGGGGCTCCTTTGATGTGATAATACCGTGTTCCCACGGGCAACCCAACACCCGCCACTCATTCGCCTCCACACACACGGCGGGGCCAACACATTCAGTTCCTCAGAGGAAGCCACCACGGCATGCTTTAAAATCCCCCGAGAATTAAAAACGCGACGGCCGTCGACATCAAAGGGAAAGCGATGACTGGGCAGAACAGACGACGCAAAACGGCGAACGTCCACACTGTTCCTATTATGCAGCGAGAGACACGACCAAAAAATAAATTAAAGAGCGGCTACTTACCCACATGCAGTGTATAGGCTGCGTGTCCCCGACTCTCCGACACCAGCGGTAAGTTTAGCTACAAGACTCGAGTGACTTTCCGCGGCCATACAGCAACCGAGCTGAAGCAGTGTCGTGTGATCGCAGCGCATTGCTACGTTGCGTGCCACTGCGCTAAGTGTCACCGCACACTTATATGACCACGGCGACGAGTGCCGTCAGCTGACCTCTTGTTGCTGACGGGCGACAGCGAGTAGGGGGAGATGTCGTGGTCCTCGTCGGGGCTGGAGCGCTTGGTGCTGATCGAGTACTGGGCAGAGACCAACGCGACCAGGGGCACGGAGGGGGTGAGCGCGGGGCTCGCAAGGCGCAAACACACACGCGGCAGGCGCACGCAGTCACGCATCTCCCTTGACCGTGCCCGATGCAGCATTGCGAGGTGCAAGGTGGTGATGATGACCACAATGATCGTCGTGGTGGTTGTGGTGGTAATGATGAAGGTAGTGGTGGAGGTGGTAATGATGGTGGCGGTGGTAGTGGTCATAACGGTGATGATGTTAGCGGTGGTCATGACGGTGATGGTGGCGGTGATGAGGATGATAATGAAAGTAGCGGCGGTGGCGCAGGTGATGATGATGGTGGCGGTGGTCATGACCGTGATGGTGGCGGTGATGAGGATGATAATTGAAGGTAGCGGCGGTGGCGCCAGTGATGATGGTGGCGGTGGTAGTGGTCATAACGGTGATGATGTTAGCGGTGGTCATGACGGTGATGGTGGCGGTGATGAGGATGATAATGAAGGTAGCGGCGGTGGCGCTGGTGATGGTGGCGGTGGTCACGATGACGATGGCGGCGGTCGCGACAGCGCCCGTACGCACGTGGAAGAGGTTGCGCTTCATGGGTGTGGAACTCTGCAGGCGCCGATCCTCGCTCTGCGGGTCCTGCACCTTCTCGATGCCGGCGCCCAGCAGCTCGTTCTTGAGCAGCGCCAGGTACGCCAGGCTGTCTGCGCACACCGGCAATCACACGAGACGGGGCGGTGGGAGAGATGTCAACACCTCCTCGACGTGACCCATGCTTTGCGCGCCCGGCCCACCTCTTGACACGGTGACCCTGGCCCTCGAAATATGGTGCGCATTGTTGGGCAGGGCAGCCGTGCCGAATGGCTCACAGGGCTATACCTCCATCATGGGACCTCCTTTGCCAGTACCAAAATATACTAATAGGGTTTTTCCCCTTTTTTCTGGCAAAAGGTGTCAGTTTTGTTGCCAGAAAAAAGGGGAAAAACCCTATTAGTATAGGGCTATACCTAATAAATGAACTTTAACTAGAAGGGGTAGGCGGGCTGTGTGAGGGAGGGGCGGGGGAGCAGTCTTGCAGGGGTCGTTGCTGAGAGATGGAGGGTCATGTTATTGATCATTTATTTACTCAAGGAAGCCTAACAGAGACTCGTTATTGAGAGGATCCTGCTACACTGGCACGTTTGGCCAATTCCAACGTGGAGCGTTTGGCTGTGTATTCATATTCTTAGTTTTTTCGGTAAAGTCACGTAGGTAAAAAAATTAAATTAATAAAAGTAAAATAAAATAAAAATCACGACGTTTCGTGCGCGATTTTTATTTTACTTTTATTTTACTTTTATTAATTTTAATTTTTTACCTACGTGACTTTACCGAAAAAACCTAAGAATATGAATCCTTGCAGTCACGAAAGCTTCAAATCTAGAACGTTTGGCTGTGCACCGGTGAAAACTGGCCGGTGACTGCCCAGCCGGCAACGCGTCCGCCCCTCTTCGCACGGGTTCGCGGTTCAAACTGGGCGACCCATCCAGGTTAACAGGGCGGCGTGTGGCGTATTAACCGCAAAATGCTTTTCGCCCGCTGCTCGCTCGCAGTGGACGTTAACGATCCCCGTGACGTAATTCGAGCTGGTTATAAATTAATCGGGTGTGTGCGTCCCGGTCCAAATTTGGCAAATTACACGGCAGAATACTTAGCTTTGGATCACACACGTGGCAGCAATCGTCGCCCCTCCCCCGCTGACTAACTGATGCCCACTTGCAGGCCGTTGCCAAGTCACTTTGTGCTGCACAGGGACAGCTGCCACTGTCCTTCGAATGTTTGATACGAAATGCAATGCAGGGTTGTTTCGAGTTTCTGCATCATCAGGCTGTCGCCTGATGATGCTGGTTGCAATTACGCGAGTCCCTAAATAGCGTCACAACTTCACGCTATGGTTTTGTTCACATCGGATCATTGCAAGCATTACTCTGACCTCATTTTACAGACAGGCAGATATAATGCATTCACACATTCTCTCGTTCTCCATGTGCGAAGGAGCCAATCTCGTTCTCCACGTGCGAAGGGGCCACTCTCTCGTTCTCCACGTGTGGATAATGAAGCGGCAGCTGCACCGCACACTGGACCCTACCTTTGCCATTGTCAGCACTTGCGTCCTTCGCTTTTCGGTTCTGTCCTGGGGACTTGTTGTTTTCTTCCTACACCAGAAGAAATACCACAAGCACGTTGATTCACGCACTCGCACAGCAACGCCAACACAACCCAACCAGCAGCTGACACGGGAACATTGGCAAACATCATTGTCAGAATCGTCAATTCATAATACATTTTTGGGTTAGGACCACTTAAATTATCTGGTCAAATGAATGTCGTAAGACCCCCCAAACACATCAGACTGTTAGATGTAAACATGTTAAGGTGCCTCCATTATTGTTTCAGTTCACTCACCGGTGAGTTTAAAAACAATTCTAGCAACCGAATTAAGCTAATGGATATGACGTTTAACTTGAAACTGCGTCAAGCAACTTCAAATGATGAAAACAGGTAGTCAGAGTTAATTGTTTTGCTTAAAATATTTTCAACACCGCACAGTTGTTAGAATTGAAGAATTACGTGGCCTAATACTAAAATAAATTCTGAATCATGACATCGGCTGCGAAAACCTACGTGGCGAATCACCATCATTATCAGTCACGGAGCTGTGAGAGTTTGAATTGGCGTTTAATCTAACGACATGTCACAACGACAGCACCGATGGAATAAAAACGAGAGAGTAAAACACATTTGTCTTTTCGACGCTAGGTGGCTCAGCAGTAGGGTGAGCAGCTCGCCATCGGTAGGTTGCAAGTTCAATTCCCAACAGGCAGAGGAAGTGGAGTGTTCACTCTGCCCATCATCCCTCCCTCCAAGCTTGACAAAAATCAAAACTGCTCTGTGAAGATTAACAGCGGTTCTGCTACGGACATACTTACCCCCACAGCAATGTGGAATTTCCACCACTGGCTCTGCTGTTGAGCGCCAATGCCTCAACGGTCAATCAAGCAGGAAATAATGGTGATGGGTTTTTCATCAACCCCCCTCACTGCCAATAAACTGCGGCTAAAATCGCCCTCTCCTCCTACCCCTTTCCCCTCCCCGCCCCCCACAACCTCCCAAGACGTTTTGACTGAGACGCTGCGACGGAGTCAGGAAGGGGGGCACACGCTCACCGAGGTGGAGTGAAAACCGATGCCCCAGTTGGCACCGGCGCGCGTGGGGATGAAGCGGTCTCCGCTCTTGCTGGGGGAGGCGAAGGGGGACCCGCTGGGGGTGAGGGTACGGTGCGACGTCGGGGTCTGTGGTGGTGAGGCGGGGGGGGGGTAAGGGGGCGAGGGGGAAAGGGCAGCAGAGAGAGAGAGTTTGTAGCGTAATTCAAGGCTGCATTTCATCCTTCACATTCTGCGATGTCTCCTGGCAAGGGTTGTTCCCGGATGCAGGGTTGATGAGACAGTGACTTATTGGGTGCAGGTGCAATTGCACAATTATAATGAACGAGCACCACATTGTGTAAAGATCAACAGTGGTCGTTCCACGGACAACCTCAACCCATCACGGCAATGTGGAACTTCCGCCACTGGGCTCAGGGCTTGGTTTTAATTGTAACAAAACAAGCAAATATAATGCATACGCAGGTGGATTCGGTATGTGTTTTGCATGACTGCGAGTCAAACATCCTGCCGGGTTGAACTTGCAAGGCGTATCCCTGCCCGTACCATGCAGGGCGACGCGACGCCCGTGTTCTGCAGGTTGATCTGCCGCAGCAGCCGGTGTTGGTGCTCGTAGTCTGGGTCCATGACGTCACAGCGAGTTGCTCGACAGCGTTACCAAACTCCCACCCGCTGCCTCTCAGCACGGCCGGTTTGGACCGCCCGCCCGCCTGCTCCTGGCTCCGGGCAGCACCCGGGTCTCTGTGGGGACACATTGCACCTCCGCGCTCAGCTGCTGAATTCGTTTTTATTTCGCGTTAACAGTAAACACAATTAAAACATCCTTTTCTGACTCCACAAATAACACTTTTGCGTCGTTGGCACAGTGCGAGTACAATGAGCGCTCGAAGAGCCTACGGAGGCAAGTTCAGGAGCACGCATTGTGAGCGCAACGCCTGGTGTACTGTCGGGACCACACGTCCTAAGATGTGTTAGAGGTTTGGAGAGTACCTGATGAACATCATGCACCGCTAATCTTGGTTGCTTCATCTGTTCGATGGATTTTATCACTGTAGGTGGCTTGGGATTTTGCGATTGTCGCAGGCACAGAATGACCTACTTGCGTCGTTTAATGAGCAAATAATACAAGACGCTAAATAGTTTGTTCTTAAACTTGAATGCCTATTAATTGTATTACTTTCAGTTTTTTTTTCCAACTACAATTAATTCATTACATCATTCAATTTGATTGTGAAAGCTTTTAGTGAGTTTCAAGACTTTTACAGGCGGGTCAGTCATACTTGGCAAATTATTTGAAAGTCAAAATGATTATTTTCTGCTCAAATGACCAGCCCTGAGCCAGTGGTATACAAAAAAAATGCACATTTACATTCTAAATTTGAATCTTTCGTGACTGCAAGGATTCATACTCTTAGTTCTTTCGGTAAAGTCACGTAGGTAAAAAATGAAATAAAAATTAATAAAAAATAAAATAATAATAATTTTTATTAATTTTAATTTCATTTTTTACCTACGTGACTTTACCGAAAGAACTAAGAGTACACATGATGGGGGGGGCGGGGGGGTACAAGTTTATCCATAGGACAGACACAACCACTGTTGATTTCCCCACAAAGTGGAAGTCGTTTTATGCCGCAGCGGGAGGAGATGATGGGCCCGAGTCAACCCTCAACGAGTATTTGAAATCACGCCCCTTCGAATTGCGAGCGAGTGACTCGCAACCGGAAGGTTCCCCCCCCTCTGTCGCTTGGCCACCCGATTGATTTATTGTATTTGTTGCCGGCACGTAAGGAACATTCAGCCACATTTACAAAGAAAGACCCGCGAAGGACGTTGGTGAAAGAAAAAAAAAGGAAATTGCGTCAAATAAATCAGAACGTTGCAGACAACGAGTAGCAAACACAATCCCGGCAGAACCAGCATCAAGTCGAGCGCCACTCGAGTAGCACTGGCAGCCAGTAATGCCGACTCGCACGGGGTTTCGCTAACCAATGTACGGGAAAAAAAGGCGGATCTTAAGATTAAGGAATACAGTAATCCCTCGCCACTTCGCGGTTCAAGTTTCGCGGCCTCAGTGCATCGCGGATTTTTCGAACTGATTTAAAGGCCTCATTATACCTGTGCAGTAACACCATCATCATTCATCATCACATTCATCGAACTGCACAGGTCTGTCATCGTCGTCATTGTCATCGTCATTGTCATCGTCGTCGTCATTACTGGAGTCAAGTCTCAAGATACTACTGTCATTGGTGAGTGTAGAACACCATAATACGTATCGTATGAGAGAGAGAGTGAATGTATAATATTAAGGTTTTATAATTAAATAGATTTAAGTAAAATATATATATAAAGTATAAATATACATATTTTAAACATTCTGGTACCCACACACACATATACAGAAATTTCTAGGGGGCCAATCCTACTTCGCGGATTTTCACCTATCGCGAGGGGTTCCGGTCCCCATTAACCGCGATAAACGAGGGATCACTGTAATACATATCTTCTAAATGCAGCCAATAAGGGCATTTATCTAACTGCTACATTTTGGCTGTGAGAATAGTCCTTCAACTTAGCGGAGAGCTGGAACAATGACAACTGGCGTGGTCATGGCTTGCGCTCACCGAGAATTTTATTTGTTTTCCGTCGGGTGGTGGATGTTGGTGGATGGCATCGAGACAGAGATTTGGCCAGACCATTCGGTGACCCGACACAAAAAAAATCAATTATTAATTATGACGGCATGCATTATCCAGAAACGCCTCGCATACTCGCAAGACGTTCACAGGAGGGTCCCACATTGGGATGTTTGACCAAACATAGACACCTCAGCTGTTAGAAGCAGCTTCTTTTGCTGCCGAGGTGGCTGGGGGAGGGAAGAGACCTGCACAGGCGCTCAGCTGCGGGGTTGCATCAGAGTCAGCGGTGGCGCAGGTGCCACGGCAGAGAGGGCGGTCGTGATACAAACACCGCCCCGACAGCTGTTCCCAAGCAGAGATGAAAACAAAGAGCCAAATTCGAAATCGTTCTGACACTTACGACACAGATTACATACAACGTACCACATTTAGTCGCGTTTGTCGTTTGCAATCGAGTAAAAACTAACAAAAATCACCTCCCTCAACGCATCACCCATTTCTCATTTGGTAAACGAGATTAGAGAGTATAGTCCAGCAGCTCAGAGACAAGCAACCGCCCTTCCCCCATTACCTCAATAGCCCAGACTGCAGCCAAGCCATCGATTCAATTATAGCCAATCGCTCACAAATATTAATAAAAGCAAAAACAATTTGCTGCTCAACTGATCACTGCTTAAAGCCCAGAGCCAGTGGTGGAAATTCAACTGTCCTCTGATGGGGGAAAGAATGTATCCATACGACAAATCCTGTTGCGTGCACACATTGTCCTATGGCGCGGGCAAGTCTATCCATAGGACAACCACAAAGTGGTACCAATTGTATTGTCCCTCGAAGGATGATGGGCTGAATGTAATCGGTTGATGTAAACGAGGGGTGGGGTTACCTTCAAATTCTAGAGGAACAGAGAGCGGTCGACTGTCTTGCATGCAAACCCACGACTCCCGTGGTTACTGTTCCCGATAACTTCAATAAATTCCTCCATCCATGCCGAGCACTCAATCTACCAGACACTCACTCATTCACCAACGTACTCATTGCAGCAGGCACACCACTTGACTATGCTTCTTTCCTGGCACCACTCCACTTTGGAATTCCCTCCTATCCGTCTCTTTCCCAAAGCTCTTTTGATACCCTTGCTTAATTAAAGAAACTCTGTGGATTTCACATCTGATGATGATTGCTTGTGTTGCAGTCAAAACGTCGTGAGAATTTTAATTTCGATTTAAAGCTTTCGTGACTGCAGGGATTCGTCTTCTTGGTTCTTTCGGTAAAGTCACGTGACTTTACCGGAAGAACCAAGAAGAATAATTTTTATTATTTTATATTTTTACTATTTTATTATTTCCTATCTACGTGACTATAAACTCTTATCTATTACCACTTTGAAAGTGCTGCTTGCTGCTGGCTGTATGCTATCTTTGGGGGCTTTGGGCCTGTTCTCAGAAACTATGTTTACAACAAAAAAAAGAGCAATCACGAGTGTGCGGCACTGACGGCGGGTGGCAGCAACGCGACACAACTTAGCGGACAAGCGCCAACTGCGTCTCGTCTGGCTCCAAACACAGCATTCCCTGTACGAACCTGCATGCTAATTTCTGAACGACAGGCAGTAAACATTCATCCTCTCCTAAACGTAGTGCTGCAATTACCGGAACGTTAAATGGGACGATTGTTACTGCCCGTTGTTCGGTAATTGGCACGTAGGTGTCTGTGTAGAACCATTAGCCTAAACAAAGCCCTGAAACTGCTTACTCATGACACTGCTGATGGTAAAGCCTCCTGCACTTGACAGAGCTCTTGAGAGCCCTTCTGGTGAGAATGTGGCCACAAGTTGATTTTGTTTAACCAGGTGAGTGCTCAAGAATGCGCCAGGATACGTCGCATTTTCAAAAGTGACCCGTGGCATCAAAGAGCAAAACGAAACAAAACCAAGTGCAGCAACGAACGAAATGAATCGGAAGACGATTCTTCCACCCTGGCCAGACCGCCTCACAAGAGGCGGGAGAGTACCCACAGTAAAGCCAATCTGTCGATTCACTGTGGTGACAATTTTTTTGTATACTGGTGGGTGGGAGGGATTTTAAAAACGGTGCCAAACCAAAAAAATCAATGGCTCTTGTCTTGGAAGCAGTGGCACACGCACGGATTTCAAAGGGGGGGGGGGGTGGGAGGAAACTCGTCCTGCGAATATCGTATTTCAATTTAACTATCCTGAAAGAAAAAAAATACCAAAAATGGTCCATTACATAGAACGGCTGTCGCAAACTTCGAGGCGGAGAGGGGAGCGACTTGTCCCTTTTGCCAGAGTGCAACACCCTACCGACACAGCGGGAGGGAGAGCCACTCAGCACAGCCGCACACAAAGTCGTGGAACAACGCTCCCCCGCGCCACCCCCTCCCAACCTCAGCTGCTCGGTCTCAGCTGCTCGTCTCTCAACAATCGGCTGCTCTTGATTTGGATTCGGTGGTGCGTGCCCGTGACGAGGAAATTTCGACGCAAGGGTCGGTGGATAACGTAGAGATTTGTGACAGATTCCCAAAAACCCGCTAGGCAAATTAATAGCAATAAGATTAATGTGCCAATTTTAACAACCGATCAGAAATTGTATTTTACATGTAATTCTCATCAGGCACCAAGGTGTTAAGTGCAGTCACCAACAACCCCTTATTAAACTGTATCTCTGGCTTTTTCTTGGTTCTTTCGGTAAAGTCACGTAGAAGGGAAATAATAAAAATAAAGCATCATTAAAAAAAATGTCATTATATTATTATTTCCCTTTACCGAAAGAACCAAGAAGATGAATCCCTGCAGTCACGAAAGCTTTAAATCGAAATGTATCTCTGGCCTTACTGTTGATGAGCTATGAAGGGTCATTGCCCGAAACGTCGCAGATTGTTGTTTTTTCTCTCTTTGACGGCAGTGTTGTTGGCGTCTTTTTTCTTGGAGGTAAATCAATCACTAATACCGTGACTCTCCATCTCCCAGCCAACGACTCCTAAACACGCCTGCTTCGCTCCGTCACCCCCTCTCACAGGACTGGGCCACTTCTCCACTCTCTCTAAGCTGCCCTGTCCAATAAACAATGCAGCATCTGTGAGGGCAGTCACCGCGTGGAGAGACGGTCGGACACTCAACGGTTCAACCACCCCGCCTCCTGCCCCTGCCACTACCTTGAATTCAATGAACCGTCACGATTCAAAGTGACTTTAAAAATCAACAATTTACCTCTTAAATTTTTATTTAAAGCTTTCGTGACTGCAGGGATTCATATTCTTGGTTCTTTCGGTAAAGTCAAATGTTCTTGCCGTGGTTTTCACACCTGATGATGATTGCTTGTGTTGCAATCGAAACGTCGTGAGAATTAAATTGTTTAATTTTATTATTTCCCTTCTTCGTGACTTTACCGAAAGAACCAAGAATATCAATTTACCTCTTCATTCATTTGTCAGTAGCGGTCGCTTTTTTTTCAAAATCAAGACCATCTCGGTTCTTGCGTTTGCCACCTGGTCAGGCAAAATTCAACTTTCACTCTTTTGGACTGCCTCTGGTGCTCTGTGTCACCCGCAGTTGTTGTTTTGTAACGTCCACATCACTCGCACCGCTTTACCCGCACCGCTCGCGTCTCGTCGTCCGGTCGATCAGCCCTTGCCACGACCGACATGGCATCGGGGGGAGACAGCCTCCGCACTGAGTACAAACGCGGTCGCCACCATCGCAAAACCAGGAGTGCTCTAAAGTCGTGATGCCCTGTCAATGTCGATGCCATGGGGAGAGACCAAACGTAGACTGAATAACGAGCACGTTGACACCATTGGAACCTCATTTGCCAGTAAAAAATATGATAATTGTTATGATAAATGCTTACCCTGAGCTCTCATACTCTGATGGTGCATTGTCTTTGAGTTGTGCGCCTTTTGGCGTCATCTGGTCCAACCCATGTGAGACTAGGCTCTAAGGAATGCTGTCTCGGGTGTGGACCAATCAACTTCAAGGACAGTGCATGCATTATCAGAGTTATGCTTTTTGTTTGCATTATGACTGCAGGTATTGTGGTCTATGTAAACATGACTCCTTGTAAAAAGGTGTCAGTTTTGTTGCCAGATAGAAGGGTAAAAAAACTATTATCAAGGACCACGGTTTTTTTTTTCACAAACCATGAGCCACGCGGCTTTCCTGGAGTGCAAATGATTCCAGCGGTATCGGTTCAACGACACGAGAACAACAACAAAAACTCTTGGGATCGATGTCGACATTCCGTGTTTCGACAGCAAGTCAGATCGGCTTCACAGGGGGCCAGATGTGTGTCGGCACGGACCGTCTGTTATGATGCGTCTCTCCTTGATTAGAAGCTTTCGTGACTGCAAGGATTCATATTCTTAGGTTTTTTCGGTAAAGTCACGTAGGTAAAAAAATAATTTAAATTTTTAGTCTCTCCTTGTCGAGAACATACCAAAATGATACTGACATAAATACGGGGATGGGAGTTGTCCCTCGCCCATGGTTCAGATGCTCCCCACGACGCCTGGTGTTGAGGAATCTCTCTCTCTTGATGTCTCTGTACCCTCACGGAGCAAAGCGACTGCCTGCCTTGCGTGCAGGCCTCACACCGACAGCCCTTGCCCCCTCACCCCCTCCCCCACCGTGACCCTGTGATTTAAATCCCCCTCACACCTCCAACTCAGCCGCTGTTTCGGTAAAGTCACGTAGAATGGAAATAATAAAATAAAAATAAAACAGAATAAAATAGTGAGAATTATTTTATTACGTTTTATTTTTTTATTTCCATTCTACGTGACGTTACCGAAAGAACCAAGAAGATGAATCCCTGCAGTCACGAAAGCTTTAAATCGAAATTCAGCCGCTGTTGTTGTTGTGGTTCTTCTCGCGTAACTAAAAAAAAACGTTGTGCGAGGACAGGGGCCATCCATTTAGTACGTACGCATGGAGGGGGCAGGGGGGTTAACCCAAATGCATAGCTTGTGTAATCGGGGTTCTACTGACAATGTACTTACGCATAGGAATTGGGCGGGGGTGGTGAAGCCTCGATAATAATTTGTCTCCATCGGCCTTCAAATGAGCCACAGTTCAGTGTCTCCAGCTGTCAGACAACAAGTACTAGCGGGAGAAGTGGCACTGTGGGAGACCTGTCACTTCGTGTGCCACCGTGCCCCTGACTGCAGCTATCACGCAGGTCAGCAACATCAGTAGCCAAGGTGCGCGACTTAATTATTTAATGCAGCCGGCGGTGGACTGTTTGCTGAAACACGTTCATATTATTAATCCTTGATCGTTTCTGCGTAGATTACATATCTGCCGTTCTATAGGATTCGGGGGGTGCGTCAGGCGTACGTACGCAGGTGGGAGGTCTAAAAAGTTCGCGTGAGTACACAGGGAGAAGGGGAGGAGGGGTCAAGCTTTGACAGATTTTTGCGTAACCTACTCAATGGATGGCCCCACATCTTCAATAGGGTGCGGACTCATCGCCAACAAGTGACGTGGGTTGCGATTTCAAAGACAGCGAAGTTGAACGTCGTGTGTCCATCATGTCAAACAGAGTCTTCTGATCCCCCCTCGCACGCACTGCAGCTACGATCGCTACGTGGATATGTTCAATCATCTAGCAGAGGTGGTGAACGTTTCTTCTGCCAATGTGGACATTAATAACATCATTCTTGGGCCATACAAAATCATCAACTTAAAGATGAGCCCGTGATATTTGGTCAAACATTGAATTAACTCACCCCTAATGTGATGGCTGGAACTGCCAAATGATTTCGCAAGCGAGATTGCTTTAAACTTTAAAGCTTTACACTTTAAAGCAACCTCGCAACAACAATGCACACGACCGTCGCCATGACAGCAGATGTCAATCAGCTCCACTGCTGGATGACAAAGACAAAGATCTTCTTGGTTCTTTCGGTAAAGTCACGTAGAAGGGAAGTAATAAAATAACAAGAAATAAAACATAATAAAATAATATAAGAATTATTTGTATTATTTTATTCTTATTTTATTATTTCCCTTCTACGTGACTTTACCGAAAGAACCAAGAAGGTGAATCCCTGCAGTCACGAAAGCTTTAAATCTAAACAAAGACAAAGATCCCCCGTGTAGCCTTCACACACTGTAGGGGCAAGTGCTGTTAGCGAGCACCTATTAAGGCCGACACGGCACACGAGGGGGTGGGTGGGTGGCCAGCACCACGCCCGGCCGCCTTTGTCTCCCCAGTGGCGATGTTTACACGTCGCACCAGGTACTCATTTGAGGCCGAGTCGACCTAGGGGAGGAGGCCCCAGGACCGGTTCAGACAATCGTCGTCGATGTTGAGCCGTGAGCGGGATATCGATCTCGGGTCACCGGGTTCGGAGCGCAGCGCGCTAACCACTACACCCACCGCTCCCCTCACACACACACACAAGACACACACACAGAGACTTACACCGCCCGTCGCGTTGATAATCATCACCACAGCACACGTTGCGACCTAAATAACAACAACAACAACAACGACGATGATGATGACAACGCGATGATTGTACAAGGCGAGAGAAGCCGACGTTCGCGGCGTGTGTGGGAGTTTCTCTCACCAGCCCTGTGACGAATTGCAGCCGCTGCCGCCGCCGCCGCTGCTGCTGCCTCCACCACCACACCCGTGACACCACAGTAGTTGTTGTTGTTGCTGTAGTACTCACGATATCCTACCACAGTGATCGTGGCGAGGAGTGAGGTGTTTGTTGCGAATCGTCGACCAAGGTAGCCTCAGTTAAAATCCCGAAGATGGCGGCATGGGGGGGGGAGGGCTGGGCGGACGCGCGTTGCATCACGGGAGCCCCACGCCCCCCCTCCCCCCACCGCATCGGGGCCGCGCTCCCATTGGTCGGCTGCGTAAACAGGGGCGTGGCCACGCGTTTCTAGGCGACGTGACGTCACACAGACGTTAAATTCAAATCGGAGCACGCGGGGCAAGGCAAGGATGTTGCCCAGCACGTGCTCAGTCGCTAACAATGATTTTGCCCAGCACGTGCTCAGTCGCTAACAATGATTTTTGTAGTAGTAGGTTTTTACCCTGTTACCTGGCAACAAAACTGAGACCTTTATACAAGGGATCGTGTTTGCATTAACCACAACACTTGCGGTCAAAATGCAAACAAAAAGACAACTCCTTTTGGCGTCATCTGGTCCAACACCATGTGAGACTAGGCTCTAAGAAAAGCTGTCTCGGGTGTGGACCAATCAATTTCAAGGACAGTGCATATCATTATCACAGTTGTGTTTTTGTTTGCATTTTGACCGCAAGTGTTGTGGTTAATGCAAACATGATCCCTTGTTAAATTTAGATTTAAAGCTTTCGTGACTGCAGGGATTCATCTTCTTGGTTCTTTCGGTAAAGTCACGTAGAAGGGAAGTAATAAAATAATAAAAATAAAACACAATAAAATAATTCTCACGACGTTTCGGCCACAACGCAAGCAGCCGTCCTCAGGTGAAAACCAGGTCTGTCGAGGCGACAGAGTCTGAATGAAACAGCACACGAGCTTGGAGCATATATATCCATAGGACACAACCACCGGAATTTAGCATATTTATGGGAAATGCAGATATGGGATTAGTTACTACTTATGGAATGCGTATTTTATTATTTCCCTTCTACGTGTCACTACACATCGAATGACAATAGCCTATAGCCCTAGTGTCATGGTACGGTTATACATCACCACTGCGGAGACAAAGGTGGCTGGGCGTGGTGTTGGCCATTCACCCCCTCGTGTGCCATGCCGGCTAACAGCGCTTGCCCCAACAACCTGTTAAGGATATGCAGAGGCTGTTTGTATTCATGCTCGTGTAGTGGCATAGCACCGGCTGCTGGCAGAAAAGGGTAACTGCGGTGTATGGCAGTACTCAACGTCAGCAGGCCACGATATAGACGAGAAGAGGACATCTAGGGGGAAGGTCACAGAAGGGGCCCATCGGGAAGCACCCAGGAACCCGCTAGTAGGTTCCAGAAAGGGGGGGGTGGTCAGGGCAGAGGGAGGCCACGCTGGGAGAGTAAGAGGGGTCCCTGTGTAGAGAAGTCCCCACGGACGCACTCGGAGACGGAGGGTAAGTTATGGGCTTTCGCCAGGGTTTATTAAAGGTTAACAATAACACAGCAAGGGTACACAACTCCCAGGGGCTAGGGGTCTTCTCTGGGTCCGGGTCCCTGCCGGCTAGCTCCGGTCTCTCTCTCTCGTGTCGGATCGGGGACTCTGCCGACTCCACCGACCGGAGAGAGAAGCACCTCTACGGCTACTACCACCGGCTTCTCCCCACACTCACTATTCGATCCCTCTCTCTAACCCTGGTTCCCTCTTCACCCTGCTTACTTTACCCGTTCCCACAGTGACCCCGTTTACGTCACGGGGTCTCCCTTAAGTACCCGAGGAGACGTGACGTCATCGCACTGAACGGCACACGTGACGTCACGTCCCCATTTTACTCCTCTACACCTGTGTGGGACCTCGTGGCTGTTCCTGGAAGAGGGATCCTCGTCGTGTCGTTCAAGGTCGTCGTCATCAACTATCTCGTCGTCGCTGTCGTCTCGTCGCCGTCGTCGCTGTCGTCTTCGCTCGATATTGCGCTGCTGGATAGTTGTTGGCCGTCTCGGTCAGCGCCATCGGTGCTAGACAGCGAGAGTTGTGTAGAGGCTAGCGACTGTAGAGTGTGCACCCACGTGGGGTGTGTGTTATCTCGATGGTGCTCGTTAAATATAAAAATACTTTTTTTTAAACACGCTTTAATGAAATGTACCGTACGAGTAATGGCAGAACTCCACGACTCCAGGAAGTGGCCCCGAGGCTTGCCATAACGTGAGGGACCGTGGTAATTTACAGCCAACTTCAGTTGAGCGTGGACAATTAGACCCAAGCCGAAACATAACATATAAAAAAGATGGTTTAATTTTTTTGGTTATTTTCACGATAGAATATAGTATTGTCATCAGTATTATATAAGTATACCAAGTGTGCAGTCGATACCACATTGGGAAGTGGGTTAAAATTGAGTTACGAGATTTGAGGATACGACAACAACAACAGACAGTTAATAGAAAGCGTGTAAAAAAAGATCGTTTAAATAATATATATATTATTTTTTATAATAGAATATAGTATTGCCATCAGTAAGACATACGTATACGAAGTTTAAAGTCGATACCACATTGGGAAGTGGGTTAAAATTGAGTTACACGAATTCTAGATTTGAAGCTTTCGTGACTGCAAGGATTCATATTCTTAGGTTTTTTCGATAAAGTCACGTAGGTAAAAAAAATTAAATTTAAATTAATAAAAGTAAAATAAAAAAATAAAAAATAAACGATTTGAGGATACGACAACAACGACAACATCAGATATAGTGAGTTAAATGATAAAAGAAGTGCCTCAAGTTTTACGTTTTCCGAGTTGAGTCACTACACTTATTTGCGGGAAGTGTGGTAATCGTTCTGCCCTCGCTGCAAATCGAGCAGCCGCACTTACACGCGCACTCGCATGTGGACAGTTATAGGATTTAAAGCTTTCGTGACTGCAGGGATTCGTCTTCTTGGTTCTTTCGGTAAAGTCACGTAGAAGGGAAATAATAAAATAATAAAAATAAAACATAATAAAATAATTCTCACGACGTTTCGGCGACAACGCAAGCAGCCGTCCTCAGGTGAAGAACAGGTCTGTCGGAAAGACAGCGTGAGAATTATTTTATTATGTTTTATGTTTATTATTTCATTATTTCCCTTCTACGTGACTTTACCGAAAGAACCAAGACAAAGTATACACTTCTATAGTCCATGGGCAACATCGACACGTAAGTTGTGTAATATTGGGGGAGACAAAGACGGACGGGCGTACAGCTTGCAACATCATCCTTTGTGTGCCCCGTTTGGCTTCATAGGTGCTCGCTACGAGCACACACGCACACATACGTTTTCAAGCACATACGCACACATACGTGTCCACGCACACACGCACACATGTATATGTGTCCAAGCACGCACGCACACATGTATATGTGTCCACGCACACACGCACACATACGTGTTCAAGCACACACGCACACATGTATATGTGTTCAAGCGGACACGCACACATACGTGTCCAAGCACACACGCACACATGTATATGTGTCCAAGCACACACGCACACATACGTGTTCAAGCACACACGCACACATGTATACGTGTCCAAGCACACACGCACACATGTATACGTGTCCAAGCACATACGCACACATATGTGTCCAAGCGCACACGCACACATGCATATGTGTCCAAGCACACACGCACACATACGTGTTCAAGCACACACGCACACATGTATATGTGTCCACACACACACACGCACACATGTATATGTGTTCAAGCGCACACGAAAACCACGCGCGCCCACAGCTCCGATATTCGAATCAAAAATCCACGCAAGTGGCTGGCGGATCGCAAATGCCGTGGCAGATGCTAATTAAATCCGTGTCAGCCGAGATGAATTCCCAAGGGTGGTTTGTGGTGTGCCCTCCACGTATGCCGCGCGTGAACGCTGGGGGAGGAGGAGGGGGTGGGTGCGAGGAAGGGGGTGAGGACAGGGAATGGAGGAGGGGGCTATTTGGTCTGAAGAAGAAAAATGAAAAAATTAACCCGTAAAAACAAAGTTTTTCACTATAAATCCTTTATATGCGTGGAATCGGGGCGGCTAGAGTCCCCTCGTCCTCTGGCTTGAGATGGCTGCCACCTATGGGTCAGATGATTGTGTGCCAGCATTAACCAATTGGTAAATAAATATTTGTAAAAAATCCCTAAACAGTGTAACATTTTGGAAAAAAAATTCACGAAAATGCATTGTCACGCACAACGAGTCTGTGTGCAAAATGTCAGCTCGATTGGATCACGGGAAGTGGGTTAAAAAACGACCGAAAGATTTGCACGGTCCTAAGCAAGCAAGCAAGCAAGCACGCAAGCAAGTGAACTTAATATAAAGGATTTTAAAAGGCGATTTCCAGTTCAAATGCACGTGGAGCATCTTCGATATTTACAGCCCTGAGCCAGCGGAGAAAAACATTCCACATTCCTACGGCGGTCATCGTCCCAGATGAGGGTTTTTGACGAGATTGGCATGCCCATCCCTCCTCGGGTGATTTTGTCCTTGCGTATCCACGCGACTGTCAGCGAGACTGATAACGCGGTTACGATGAACGGGCATTGTTTGCGGGTCCACGTCATTCATGTCTCCCGACGTTTTGTGTTTGAACGACGAATTACAAAGTGGGCCAGGCCACCGCGCGCGCCTGGCGAAGCATCTCGTAAAATCCCAGAACCTGCGTCATCACCAGCAGATGCAATTACTGCCGACAAATGCTCAAGGTCGTAATTAAAGTGTAACAGTATATAATCATTATTATTATTATTAAACGAGTGTGTGTGTGTGTGATCTGGTACATTTGTGCAATAGAGAAACAGAGAGAGAGAGAGAGAGTTTCAGGGATGTGATCGGCGAAGTATCTGTGCTGCCCTGTTGGAGCAACGACCGGCTTTCAAATCTCCAAATCGAGGATGGATTCCCTCCTGGAGCTCAATCCCAACGCAGGTGAGAGCAGCTGCCGAGCGCAGCAATCAGCGGCACGGAACGATAAGTTCAAGTTCAATGTATTAGGTATAGCCCTGTGAGCCATTCGGCTCTTGAATCGGGTGCAACCGCAACAAACAAAAATTAACCCGTAAAAAATTAACCCGTAAAAACAAAGTTTTTCACTATAAATCCTTTATATGCGTGGCGGCTAG